TAAGTTTTGCCTAATGAGATGACAGAGAATAGTTGTACCATGAAGAGCTGACCTATCATTAATGCATTAATAGTGAAGGTGCAGCAAGTAGGTCAAATACAGGGGCAGATTGAGGTCGACTTCTGGGTCTTCCAGAAAACCGTCAGATTTTCAAGTTTACATTGACAGGTATCTGATTTCTTCTGTCGGAAGACGGTCAAAATGAGGATGGATCATCAAAGATAATTTGGAAGACTGTCAGAAAATATCTCTGGATCCGCCCCTGAAATAACCCGTTGATGGCTTTTGTTGTATTTGAATATATCCTGTTGTTCTAGGTGGATAACCAGACTCAGGAGGAGTTGAGTGGGGGTGAAATGTTTGCCCCAGAGGTTGACAGTCAGAGAGAACACACAGATCAGCCTTGCTACCAGAAACCATTGAAATCTAAACCTTACGTCCTACTGGAGACACCTTTTGTGAAAAATCTCAGGTAGAGAAGAGAAATTGTTTATATATAGCTTATTATCATTGTAATTCGATGGAAAAAATTTAATATATCTAGAAAATTATTAATAGAATCAGTCCAGCTATCATACCCATTACAATTTTCACCATAATTTATTTTTGCTAATATTCACGAAGCGTCCATTTCAAATGGTATGCAGTATCTGTTACAATTACTGTTAAATATGTTATTCTGATGTTTGACACATTATATTTAATCAATTATAACTTAACTTGGTGTTTGACTCATTCCAGGACAATACTAGAGAAAGGTGGCAATCGTCCTGTCAGTATTATAGATAATGAGCAATACGCACTGGGGACCTTGTGTGTGCTGAGGATTCTACTGCCTACAGTATTTGTGAGTACTGCGCTTTAATGCTGAATAATAAATCAGCCTTGAACTGGAATAAACTGTTATACATGAACTTATTATCAAGCAAAATTTAAGTATGCAAAATGTTAGATATCATATGGAGGTTTTGGACAGCTTTAATAATATTATGCAATTTTGAAATCTATAGACAATTCTACCAAAAATCATTTTACAACTCAAGACTCAGAATCATGTCACACGGCTGTTTTACAGGAGTCCTGACAGTTTTTCTTCTTGCTCTTTGTTATTTTAGCTTATCCTCCTTATTACAAATATTCTGAGGATTGTATTGTTGGAGGAAAGTGCTGGGCATTGGACAGAAATGGTCATTGTCTTACAGGTCAGTTAATATGTTAAAGTATAACCTGTATAAGGAAGTGGTAAATATCAAGTGAGAAAAAAACATGGGTTGATTTTGTTCAAAAACTTCATTTATGTTTATAAGAACTTTTTTGAAATCTGTTTTGCTTAGCCGTTTGGTTAAACTAAGGGTCTTTCTCTATATTCAGTTTGTATATATTTCTGCTTTACTTTATTCTTGACACAATAGTGGGCGTATAAGTACAGTAAAAAATATGGATTCTGATATAGATTCGACATAATTTTTAAACCGTATAATGTAATGGACCAGTTAACTTAAGTATATATTCTTCACCAAGGTCCATGCCACGTGGCCATTTCTCCCAGTGTTGTTCCCCCTCCTGTGGTACATGCTGAACCTGCTGGGACACGCCAGAATATTGGCAGTCTTTGATGAAGGCAAGGGGCAGCAGTATGAGGTAAACTTAGGTGATATTTTCCATGAATAATAGCATACATGTAGCCTGTCTTGTTAGCACTGGTCCTAGCTAAATGTCAGTAAAATTGAAACAAAACCAGTGAAATTGTATAAATTTTTATTAATTACTAGACACCACTTCTGTTTTGGTTCAGTTTATCCTTAGACCCTGGTGTCTCAAGGGGCCACTACAAAGCTTTAAAGGCTTCAATTTTTTTGGAATCTGTTATCTAAAGGAGTGGTAGTAAGAAAAACTGAATAGGGTTTAAATTGGAGTATAATAATTATGGTAAAATGGTTAAATCTGCGAAAAAGCAGTGATAATGATTTGATCCTCATTTACTAACTAAAGTTTGTAATAATTAATGGTACTTGTTTACAGTATTCAGATTTAGATCGCTTCAGTGTTGAAACAAACATCTCTGAGGATGAGATAGTGGTCCACTATGAATGGAGACAGGTTTGGAGGCACTTCTTGGAGCTTCTGAAGGGACCCAGCATTTCCTTACCCAGAACAGCAAATAGTGTACATGCCCTAGGAAATATCAATGTGAGCAATTGAGTAACCTTCTCTGTATAGGAGATGTTTTATCAGTAATGCTAGCTTTGTCCTTATACCTATTTATTTCTGTATTTATGATATGAATGTTTATATGTGTTGTACATTATCACCACTTCTGTTAATGATAATCCATTCTGAAAATTCTGTTGGTGCATGATTATTCATATTTTAAATCATTAATCAAGTATTTCATCCCAAAGTGTGTGACTTTTCGAAAGTCTGTTTATTATTTAATTTCCCTTGCCCTTGTTTGTTATTTGAACCACATACACTAATTATTATTGTCTTTTTAATCTGCATTTATTCAATATAAATACTGGTACATGTAGAAATGAAAGTAGGTATTGAAAAGTGATATCTATTGCTGTAATTCCAGTCCCTGTGTTGTATAGACAAGAAGGGCATCCTATCCTGGCCAAACCCCACAGCTGAGAAAGTGTTCTTCTTTTCAAGTGGAACACAGTGCAAGCATGCAGGGAAGAAGGGTAAGGTGGAGGCAGAACTGGAAAAGGCTCAGAAAGATGCTGCAGAAGAAGAGGAAGAGAACGTGGACCAGGGTATGTGTGTTTGTTTGTTTGTTTGTTTGATTCAAATACCACCCTTCATAATATATAAATATGAGTGAATAGATAAGAATATTTAAGAGCAACTTGATGAGGAAAATTTTAATTGCAATTGATACTTTTTCAAAATCTGTTATGGCAATTACACATTGAATTGGAATAATACTGTTTCATTAGCAAAATTAGTGTTGCAGATCTTGTGTTACTATATCCATAAATGTTGAAAGATGTTGAAATATCAGGTTAATGAGGCTTTAAAATTTTGAAAAAGAAAGAGGTTAAGGTCAATTTTTTTATGACTGATAAGTTTGTTTGGATTCCAGCCCTTACTCCTGACTATCATATAGAAGTTTTAGACCTCACACATGATGCTAAGGTTGGTGTCCATTGGGCAGTGAACTCAGATGTTCTTGATTGGCAGACTTCTTTTATTTACATAATAAGGCGGAATCCATGTCGTATATATCTGTTTACACATCAATTTTTATTTTTACCAAAATATACCCTTTTGATCAGTTATATGCTAAAGATTGGTGCACCAAAGAATTAGTTTTGTACAAGAGGGTACAATAATGTGTTAAATGTGTTTACTTTAAAGTTAGAGGAAATTTTGTCCAAATATTATGATTGAGAAATTTGCAAGATAAGATCATTCTTTATCTCCCAGGATGCATTTGGGCTCCAGTTTGATGACCCAGCCTGGAAGAAATATCTGAATTCATTGAAACCACTGGTATGTAACACAGTCACCTGTACGTTGAAATGTTGAGTTTATTTTATATTGAGCTTTTATTTGAGATGATATATCTTACTATGATAACAACATGTATCTGTAATTGAAATGAATATCAATAATTTGAGTCATTAGAAAGTAGGTGAAATATATAATTAGTACCACCAGCGTGTACGCTGGCGGTACTCATGGTTTTAGTCCCGACCCGTCTCGTACGGCTCCGCCGGCTCCTGCGGCTCCGCCGGCTCCTGCGGCTCCGTCGGCTCCGCGTACTGGCGCCGGATACAAGTCACCGTTACCGCTTCTCCTCCTAGACTGCAAGGACCCTTGTCCCCATCTCTTGGATTTAGGTCACATATAATCTCAACTTGAACCTCCTGTTCTTTTTGTCTCAGTCAGTGCATTGGCCTGGGCATGACGCTCGTTGAAACACACCCTTGTCAAAATTTTTGAAAATTCAATGCCAAATATCTCCCAAATCGAAGGAATTATGGGAAAAATTACTACAGAAGTCTGACCGAAAGTCATATATGAAGATTCCAGATATGCCCTTGGATTTGACTTTTGACCTTTATTTCAAGGTCAAACGGGCCAAAATTTTCTAAAAATCTTAATTTTTTGCGAAAATTTTTTTATTTCTGCTGATTTTCAGAAACTACACAGATCTAACCTATAATATTATGGGTAGTTGTTACCCTTTGGGTCATCTTTCATCTTTTTGAGTTTGGGGTCAATCGGTGCATTTTCATGAGAGTAGCGGCCATTAGATGCGGAAACTGAAAACTTTCTCTAATTCTGGAACCGTTAATGCTAGAGACCTCTTGTTTTTTGCATTTTGTAGAGCTTATCAAGTGCAACACAGAAGGTGGTGTCCATTTTTCCTTTTTTGATTCGGCTTAGGCGTTGCATTATATCAAAAAGTTCAGTATCCGATATTCAGTGGTGAAAATAAAATGTGAAATACTCCAAAATTAGCTGAGATACGCCCATAGTTACTATTGAACGTGAATAGGAAGTCATATACTGGTAATCTGACTGTGACCTTGAAATTGACCTTTGACCTACTTTTCACCATGAACTGCACTTTGCAAGTTTTCTGATCTTTATATCTCCAAAACTGGCAAAGATTCGCCCATGGGTACTATTGAACTTGAATAGGAAGTCATATACTGGCAATTTACTGTGATCCTGAAATTGACCTTTGACCTAATTTTCACCATGAACTAAACTTTGCAAATTTTCCAGACCTTATATCTCTAAAACTATCAGAGATACGCCCATAGTTACTGTTGAACTTGAGTAGGAAGTCATATACTGGCAATCTTACTGTGACCTTTAAATTGACCTTTGACCTACTTTTCACCATGAATTGAACCTTGCAAATTTTGTCACCCTTATATGTCAGAAAACTGACAGAGGTAGGCTCATAGTTGCTATTGAACTTAAATAGGAAAGCATATACTGGCAATCTAACTGTGGCCTTGAAATTGACTTTTGACTTACTTTTTCACCATGAACTAAACTTTGCATATTTTCTTGCCCCTCATATCTTCAAAACTAGCAGATATATGCCCAGTGTTGCCCTTTGGTTTTCTTTTTTATCGGCAAATATGCAACACTGATAATACATAAATACAGGTCAATTCGAAAATTAATAGGACCATTTTTACAGTTATGTTTTTTTTTTTTTTGGATATTTTGAGAATTCTTGTTTATTGCATTTTATGGTGCTTTGTCAAGCACAAGACTGGTAGTGGTGTCCCTTTTTTTTCGGTTTTCCATACGAATGAGCTTACTCCAGCTGGTGGTACAATATCCAGAGGCAGTATCGCCTCTCTGATCCTCTAGTTCTATATTGATAATGTGTTGAAAAAAATTACTACTAAGGTATTGCCCTCTCTAAACATGCACATATGCACATGCACGTATGCGCACGCACGCACACACACACACACACACACACACACACACCTACACACACACACACCTACACACACANAGCTCCCTGAAGACTGCAGCCACCTTTACCCTCTGGCTAGAAGTCCTACACCCACAAGGTAAAATAAGATTATCAGCAGTTCTTACACTAATATTTCTATTGTTGCACTTTGGGTCTGCATGCAACAAACTATCCAGATATCAACTTAAGCACAACATTTAAAGACAGATTTCCATGGTGCATGGTGGGTAGTCTCTGTTCACTTATAAGATAAATATGCAAATACTACATTACATTTTTTTTTCAGTTATTTTACCATAGAATTTACACATTTTAATGTAAAAAATAATTCTCTACAGTATTAGAAATGATGTCATTGATAAAGTGTTGTTTGTTCACCGAATTCCATCTTTACTCTTGTGGTAGGTCATGGCTTTGTTGCAGGAAGATGCTTTTGTATAGTAATGATAAACCATTTATCAGGTAAAATCCCAGTTGGTCACCAGTTTATCTGTTCTCTTATTTTACTCCAGGTCATGGGACGTGGAGTCATTGGACAGCCGTCTGCTGAAAGGCACCCATCTCTCCATCAGTGTGGACTCCCTGTACAGTGAGTCTAGCTCAGCCTCCATTAAAGATGCTGTGGATCTCTTCAAGGCTCAGTGCAATCAGATTTTTATTGGAATGGTCACCATGCAGTACCAGGCCAGACTGGTATGTGGACTGTCTTGAAAAATGTCCTCTGCTGGATTCTATAGATCAAGTGAATGTAAAAGAAATATTAATGTTTGGATTTAAAATCTCTCCTGAATAAAATATAAAAACTTGTGTTAATGGTCAAATTTTATAGTTGTTATCAATAGAGAACATAAATTCGTTGCTGTATTAAATATAAGTAAGAATTTTAAAAAGGTTTCCATTTTTGCCTTTCAGGATGTTGTAAAATTAATTGAAAATCTGGAAACAGCATGCATCAGATTTGTGCATTTTTCAGAGGAAAATGAATTGAGAAGTAGAGTAAGTATCAGTCTTATTCTTTCATTAAACAATATATGCAACATTAAGTTTTTTTATTAATGTTCACAGATAATATGGGGATGCAGTGCTTCAAAGATTACAAGTGACTTTCGAAGGAGCCAGGATGGAAAATAAAATGTATTTATGTACATTATTGTGTCATATTTTATTATCAGGTGTTCTCAGAGAAGATGGGATTGGAGGCTGGGTGGAACTGTCATATCTCTCTCCTCAGTGGTGACTACACAGAAAGCACCAGCCAGCCAGACTCCAATACCAGCAACCAGTCACACAGGACATCAAAGATCTCTAGTCACGTCTCTGTAGACACTCTGAACAGAAGTTCACGGTCACGAGACAAATCACGCCGCCACAGTGCACCCTCACTGATACACATAGAAGACCCACAGGTGCGGTTCTCAATGCAGCCATCTGAGGAAAACTGCAACAGTATTAGATCAGACGATACAGTGCAGACTGTAGTTGTCAATCAAGTCATCCACCAATCAGGACAGTCGTCTCAGGCAGTTAACCAATCAGTCCAAATGTCTCAAAGTGATGAACTAGATGGAGCAGTGTGCAACATTGATGGAGTACAGGTTGAAGAGGTGAAAATTCAGGAGACACCAAGATCACATTTTACCTCAGATGAAACTCCATACACCAACTTCTCCTCTAATGTCAGTCCAGAGGGATATTTTCAGCCAGACATCCATATAGCCTACCAGTCAGATTTGTCGCCAGCAGAGGAACAGGAGATGGTGGAAATAGCAGCACACTATGGCAGTCACAGGACATCTAACACTGATGATACTATGTCTGGGGGGTTTGATATGTCTAACAGGGTAAGTTCACAAGGGTCTTAGACTGATAATATCACATGTATGGGAGGGGGGTATATCTAACAGGATAAGTTCATGAGAGACTAAAAAATTATTAACACGGTCAATGTTGTGTTGGACCAAGTGTAACATGCGTTTACAAACAGATATAGAGATTATTTAAATAGATTTTAATGGAAAAATATGGCCCAAATTTGAACTGGTTTTGGAAGAAGTAAAGAGTATTTTAAAAGAAGTAAATGAAAGAATTTCTCTTTGAAGGCCAAGCTTCCCAAGGGAATAGAGAACATCCGGCCCCACTTAGAGCATGTAGACAATGTGCCCTTGCTGGTGTCACTGTTCACTGACTGTACCAAGGGAAGTAAGTACATTTAAATCACAACACCATCTGAGCTATAATTTTTATTGAAATTATATTTTGTGAATCATTAAGATATGGTCCTTCTTATGTCACAGTCTGTTTTTTAAAAAGCTTGATGAGAAAATGTTGGAGTTAATATTTTTTAGAAGTATTATTATTACAAACCACAATTGCTTTATAGGAATAGGTTCAGTACCTCTGCAAATATTCATTCCATTAAACAGAGTTATTTCTGACTTTGAGACTAAATGGTGTCAAGAATAACATGTACATTATTTAAAGTTTTTCACCAGGCTGAGCTGGTGAAAATGTACAGAGATAAATATTAATAATAGCATGACTGTTTTATCATCTAAAGATCATGAAAAAAATTTTTCATAATAATTCAGTCCATATTTATCTGTATTAAATTGTCATGTTTTTTGTATACTTCCAGCCACCAGAGAGATGATCCAGATAATGCAGGAGTATGGGGAGGTGGTTTGCTGTATAGGGAGCACTGCTTGTATACAGAATACAGCTTCTTTTATCCAAGCTGATGCAAGGTAGACTCTCTCTCTCTCTCTCTCCTTCTCTCTCTCTCTCTCTCTCATAATAATTGATGCAAAATCAATAAATTGTATCAATATGTAACAAAACAAACATTACTGATCTATTTCATTTTATAATTGATGTTTTCTATCCTCCTTTCATTTTATTATTTTTGTGTTTAATGTTAAATTTGTATTGATCATTATCATATTCCGGGGTTTGTCTCCCTAGTATTGGCCTAGAGCCTCAGTACCCACAGCTGTGTATGAAGCAGTCTGTGATGACTGAGCCATGGGAGGAAGAAGAACTCTCTCCAATGGATATCAACAGGCTGCTGAACAGTCTGGGTTGTTCTTTGGTGTTCTTTAGGTCTGACAATATCAGCCTCACACAGCTTATTGCAGAGGTGAGACAGCTGCGTTTATAATAACTTTTGTATTTTTATTAATAGAAAAATACCATTTAAATAATAATTTGTGGTCAACTGATAGAGCATTTTATAAATAGTATATTATATTTTTTTATGTACAGACAGATGTTTTGTGTACTACCATTACAAATGCTCTAAAAGGAAAACTGTGTAACTTATTATTTTGTAACTTACAAGAATGATTGACATTCAGCTCACATTGGCAAACCAGCTTGATTGGATTATTTTTCTTTCTTGTTGTCTGTACATTTGATAGCTTTGCTGCCTTGTTTATTATTTTTGTTCTATTCCAGGCCAGACACCACTGTGTAGCAATGAGGAACTCTTTCCTCTGCCTCCTGTCCTATCATCTGTCCATATCTCTCATCCAGCTCTTGGCAGCCATATTTCTCCTGCCTCCAGTGCTAGCCAGCCGTCACCTTCTGTGGCTCCTCCTAGTGGTGGCCCCTAGCCTCAGTTTAGTACACTTTGGAAACCCATTAGACCCGCACATCATGACCCTGGCCTCGGGCAAGAATGAAGACTACTTGACCAAAGATGTATGTATCAGTGCTTAATACACATGATCAAGAAGACTGCTTTGATGGTTTTCTCAAATCTGCATTGAGAATGAAGTAAGCCATTGAAAAAAATTAATCGGGCAGTCATTTTTTATTTTAAAATTTAAGTAATACTCGCATGCATTGGTTAAGTTAAAGACATTTCACAAATTTCAACAATTTTTTTGTTGCATTTTCAGGTGATTGTCCAGTACATCGTATATTTTATTCTAAGATTTGTCCCATCTTTGCTGATAATATTGTTATGCTTTGGATTCTCCTTGTATGGACTGTGTGTTAAGAACACTGGCATGGCTGAGGCTTGTCATGCCTGTTTTGGAAATATGTGAGTAGTTTTCCATCATTTTGTGGAACACTGATTATTCTTGATAAATGAGTTTTATATCCTTTTTGGAAGCACTGCCAAACAGAAGACTTTTACTGTCATGTTGATATTCTCATGTGAAATTTTCTTTACATAAAAGTATTTGACTTGAAAATTGCAATGATTTCTTAGATTTCTTGCAGTTATTTTTTCGTGTTGGAAAGAACTGAAAGAATAAATCTTTTCCCATGCTTCCTCAGGCAATATAGCACCCCTGGTGATTGGCGTGGCTGGTCCACACAATATCACAGTGGCTTAGTGTTGGCACAGAATATTCTACTAAGTCAATTCGTACTTTACACAGGTTAGTTAATACAAAATGATTAATCAAATATTAACAATTTTAACTGCAACTGAGATAAAAGGATTTTTTTTAAAGTTCCAAGATGTAGTTTTTACTCCTGTAGCCAACTGTTTCATTAGGTTCGACATGAGAAAAAAAACCTTTATTGAAGACATGTTTTACTATTGCAGTTTTGAGCTCGGTCAGTTCAGTGCACAGATATTACCATCTGTGGAGGAGAGCTCCCTGCACCAACAAACTGTGGTGTGTTGTAGCTCCAGCCATGTAAGTGATATGGATCACTGATGGTTTATTAATCATGTGACTGTTTAATTTTAATTATTTATTAAGCAGAAGAAGTTTTCACTGTATGCATTATGACAACATGTAAAAAGTAGTTGATGAAGTAGTTCTTGTAAGTCATTGGATTTAAGGATAATGCTTTTTGAGGCTTTCCTTATGTTGTTGTAGCTTGGTTCTCCAAGTAATCTACAGTATCTGTGATGTCCACGTGTACAGAGAGGGAGAGAGTGCACTGCTTGCAGACATTCCTGTGGTCACCTGGGTGGTGGCAGTCATCTGGCCTCTGCTGTTATTACCACTACTAGAGATGGTCAAGATGCATGAAATCAAGTAAAGTAGCAACAGTACCTTTTATGTCTTAGAATCACTGACTTGATACAAAAATAGAAATAACTTTAAATTTGATGGACAATAATTACACTTTGCTTACGCCAAAGAAGTATTCTCTTTTTAAAATTGCTAGTTTTTTTTTTTTTTTTTGTTTTTTTTTTTTTTTTTGGAAATAAAGTAGATATAATTTGATACGAGTGATAGGATTACAATATATTTTTCTGGTCTTTTTGTATATATAATGATCATTATTAATTTGGCTTTTTTACTAGGCTTGCCGTGAGGTATCAGAAGAGGGCAAGGCTGAACTTTGGTACCAAACTTGGAATGAACTCGCCATTTTGAGACTATGCTGAAGATTGTTGCATAGTGGCAATGACAGATTGTACTCAACTCTGATTGAAAAGCATAATTGCAGTACTTATACTTCTCTCACACCTAATACTGTGACTCAAAAGTAACAAGTGCGATTTCTTTTTTGTAATGGGAGACAAAAATATATTTATATTTAGAAGGTAAAGAGCTGAAAATCTATTTGATTCAGGTGAAGAGCTGAAAATCTTTTTGATTCAAAGCTTCATTTGGACCATTAAATCCTGCCGTAAACTCATTAGTTTATCATGAATATTAACAACTTCAACTGCTATTTATTGATGTATCTTAATGTAAGTACTGGTTAAATGGTTTTCATGTCATCACATTGTGTGGCATTTTACAGCTGTAGTTTCATGAAGAAATAACAGCTTTATTGTATAACTGTTCCCCTCAAAATGAAGTAGCTAAGATATTTTTTCACAAATCCTGATAGATAAAATGTTTGTATCTCACTTGGCATCAATCTTTCCTGTTGTTGTATGATATATGTGCTCATACCAAAGGTGTTACTATTGTTTGTGAAAGGATTTATTTTATGCACCACATATTATCAGAGAGGGTTTATGGCATTTGACAAAAAAAATGTTTTGCCCAGAGGTAGTTGATGTGTTTTATAAAACCACATTATTATTGAGCACTGATTGTTATTATTCTGCTCTGTTTATTGTACCNTTCTATATTGATAATGTGTTGAAAAAAATTACTACTAAGGTATTGCCCTCTCTAAACATGCACATATGCACATGCACGTATGCGCACGCACGCACACACACACACACACACACACACACACACACACACACACACACACACACACACACACACACCTACACACACATACAGAGTAATGCCCCCCCCCCCAAACAGGAAGTAAGTAAATGAGTCCTAGATTGAACCATTCTGTTATGGTGCTCTTTTGACATCCTGTTTCTCCGCATGAAGCAATGTAGTCAATTTTTCACCTGACTTCTGAAAAGGCAGATAGATACATTGGTATGTTTACTACCCATAACTTGTAGAACTTTTCCGTATTGCTATCCAATGGTAAGTGGGCCATGACCCAAAAGACTTGGAATGTTTGTGAAAAATTAAGTCGTCATTCATGAATAGTTAATATAATACTGTATGACATCCTGCAGGTAAAACAATTGTAAAAAGAAAAAATCTTGAGAGACTGAAGAAGTATATATACATTCTTACAGATTGAGTAAAAAGTTTGTTGGAGGCAGTAAGCCGGAGCATATTAAAAATCTGTGCTGTTTCATTGTCATCTTTATGTAATGTTTGATTAGGAATACCACTTAAACTAGAAGATATAAAGAATTGGATTGAACTCGGTTCGGCTTATTGCATCTTATTTTAGCTTGTGTGTAGTTGTGGGATTTGTGTTGGCTGAAATTAGGCTGTAATTAAAGTGATTCCGGATTTGAAGTCTGCTGGGTATTGGACTGGAGAGACGATGAAGACCTGGTGACGTCAAGTACACTCAAGAGGTATTTGTGTGTAAAAAGCTTTAGGAAATGGGTGGTTTGCGCCCATCTGATTTTTGCTATTTTTGAATTTCTACGGGAAAGTGGGTATCTTTTCAGGCATTGACGCAGAAAAAGGAAGTGGATGTATTTCACTAATGCCTATACATCAGGATATTTGATTTTGTTGTCTTACAGCCAGGAACAGGCATTATTTGTTTGCTCTTATTGATTATCCAGGCCAATTATGCCAATTCTTTGAGCAAGGGACAAGAAAAAGGATAGCTGGAACTGCAGAGAATGGTGATCTTCCTCCACCATCCATTATAAATAGAATAGCTTGTGAGCATTTTCCGCCTTCGTACTTTGGAGATGATTTATTGAAAGTTCTTAGTTGTTACAAAAGACAGCTTGGTCGACGGTCTGCTGCATCATTCAGTTACTAATGAGAACAATAAATTTGTCAGGTAATATTGAAACTTGAAAGACTTGATGAAGTGGTTTGTCCCTGATTTCTCTGATCAGTCTTAACCACCATGTATTGTGGGCCAGACAACTTGTGATTGAATGAGAAAAGAAAGAATAAAAATCTATGAATATGTAGAGCTAGTCAAATATGTAGAAATTACCTAAAATGCTGCTCTTATTTCTGTAGATACCATGGAAGCCAATAACATTTATCGTGGTTATTTGTATCTTGCACACTTCCTAAGAATTTAATTGTAAATATATACTAGTAAAAAGCTGATAACCTTTTGATTTGAAATCGAAGAAAAATATGTACAATGAAGTGTGTCAACATTCTTCCGTTAATTATGATGCATGAAAAAAGTCACTGACATTATCTTCACCATTAAATTGTGATCTTTTAGTAAGGAAACCCACAATCTAGACAAGAGTTCAATAGGTTGTATGCATAATTACACAATAGCTGCACTTGTCTGGTAAGCATGAGAGATGGGCATTGATAATTTGTTTTTAAAAGGCTTTTTCAGGGAAGGATCATGTGTGATTAAATTTTTCTATAATCCCAGTGGAGGAGTGATGGACTGGATAACTGTGATTTAATTTCAAGACTGATTACTGGCAGGAAAAGAGGATGTTAGTGGGCATGAAGATGTACAGGCCCAGGAAATGGGCAGTGATGCTTTATAAAATTGGATACATTTTTTATTTGAATTAAATATCCAGATATGGGATAATGCCACAAAATCGGAGAATTTTCCTTTTTTTTTTTTCTTCTTTATTCGCTGCATCCCATAAAGGAAGGTAATTTTTAGAGTAGAAACTCAGCTTGGGACTGTTGGCAAGATGGGGACTATTAAGCTTTAAAGTACCTCAAGGTCAAAGCCAAATGCTTCCACCCACATCCAGCCTACAACTTGGAAACCATTTCCGTGAATAAACTCCATGCAGTCTTAATTTAGCTGCCTGTAAATGCCTCTGAAGAAGAGTTATGGCATGGAGTGATTTGAGTGGAAATATTCCGGAAGAGTGCTGGGGCTAGTTTCACATAAGAATTTTAGCCCAAAAATTGGTCAAAACTTTAAGATAACAATTTGTTCTATTTCAGTTCAATATTAATCTTATGTTAGTCTACTTGAATGAAGTAAGTAAATGGTCTGGAACATTAACCATATCTTCCTTGTTATTAAGCAGAAGCAATAGTTAATTTAATCAGACTTCTACTGATTCATTTTGGGTCAAAGTAGACGTAATTTTTTGTCCTAAAGGTTAAGTCTTTCAGGTTAAAGTTCTTATCATGTCCCTGGAGGGATTTTAGGTTGCTTTGATAAGGGATAATGTAATAATGGAATTTTACAAGTGATTTCATTTAGAGATACAAATGTAGTTGCTCACATATTGTACATGGAAATGATATTGTCGTATTGTGATATTGTTCATAACAGTCTTTATTGAACTTTGAAATAAGACATTTTCAGAAAAAAAGGTTAATCCTGTTAACTCAAAATTATATAAAAACTGTTGAAAATTAGGTAACCCTGGTTTGATTGAATGTTTTACGAATGGATTATTTTCTTCAGATTGTCTCATGTTGTAACTTCAGACAAAATTTGACTGGTGAAATATCATCATCTAGTAAAAGATTATTGTATCAGTACTTAATGGATAATTTTGCAATACAGCAAGTATTATGACATCTTACCCAAGCCAATAACCTCCCCCCCCCAAAAAAAAAAAAAAAAAAAATGTGGATTGTATTTCAAAATGAAGACTTTCGTCCCACAAAGTACCAGAAGAACAAGGGAGGTACTCAAAAAAAAAAACTAAAAAACAAAACAAAATTTGAAACTTTTTAACCTGCATGATAAAGTTCAATTAGATTTTATCCTTTTTATTACATTTAAGCAGATTAAATAAATGAAATGTCACATACCCAAATAAGGATAAGATCTTTGTCATTTGGCACATTCAGAACAAGTTGATTCGCAGACTAACAGATCCACAGATCAAATATGGCCGACTTGCTTGTAAGCCTGCCTTGTAATCCCTTAATAGACTCTGAATAGATTCCCTGTGGGGATTACGCGGTGAGCTTTCAAGTGGGTTGGCCATATTTAATCCACATACCTGGGGTATCTTTTAGTCCACAACTCAACTTTGGTTGTGAATGCTGCCATTGCCAATGAAAGAGTAAGGGCGCATTCTCAACGAATTAAGCCAGGCTTTACAAAGCCGGTGACCTAAAAATGGCGGACGTACATGAAAGAAAAACCGCCTAATCTTTTAATAGTCTCTATGCCTCCCCACACGTTGCCCCTGCGGGGTACAGTAATTAAATCGCGTCTCCGTTCGCCATGCGGAAGCTACCTGAGAAATATTAAGTGCGCATGCTCATCAGTTAAACTCGTGGTGAAGAAAGCATGGCGGCTGAAGGCGATCGAAGGAAAAAAGCTCTTTTGTTCTATTATCTTTGAAAACAGAGACGAAAAAGGAATAATTTGGCCCGTAGAGCAGCAATGAATCGACTATCTACGGAGATAATATCACCAGAGATATTCACGGAAATATTAATGTTCGGAGCCGAGATTTAATTACTGTACCCCGCAGGGACGACGTGTGGGGAGGCGTGTGAGAGGCAGAGAGACTATTAAAAGATTAGGCGGTTTTTCTTTCATGTACGTCTGCCATTTTTAGGTCACCGACTTTGTAAAGCCTGGCTTAATTTGTTGAGAATGCGCTCTTAAACAGTGCCAAACAATCTTAGCCCTCAATATCATTCTTTCATCATACGGCCTCAGATGAACTTTAAATAAGAAATGGTGACCAACATCTGGCCTTTCACTTTAACCTTTTCTCAAGGGTCAGATTTGCAAATTGACTGATTGTAAGTGGTCAGTTAAAGGTACAGTCCATAAAATTTACCTGCCAAAATAGATTTTCTCAGGAAAATAAGCAATTTTCTTGTACTCAGAAAGCGTTTATCTATCTCTTTCTGCACTTGGATTCAACTTTTGCTAAAATTTAAAAAGGTTGGATTTTAGCTTAAAATGAGTGGCTAGTCATTATAACAGTGGCTATTTTCCAGTAAGCTCCAACAGAAATATCAACATCAGGTATGTTCCAGAAAAATTTTTTTCAGGGGTTAAATCATTTTGAAGGTGTATGCAATGTTTTAAGAAGCTGTGGATGGCAAAAATAAGCATTTTGGGTATTTTCAAACCCATGGAGTGTACTTTTAAGTATAACAAAAAAACTCTTATTACATTACCACTCTTCATTATCAAAAGGCAATCTCTGTACTCACACTAAGGTGAACAGCCACAATTGCTGCCTGTATTTTTTATACATTAGTACATATATTTGATATCACATAGTATAAATAAAAGTGCTGATGCATAATTTTTCATGCTATCAGTTGCAGTGAACAGTTGGGATACAGTAGCGCAATAGTCCACCTTCATCAATGAAATTTAGCAATGTTAATGTGGTTTGCTGCTGGGCTTGTAACTTCTGATTATAACTCACAAGCAATTATTTATGTCAAACAAAAACTATAGATAGTATTGTTTTTACCTATGTTAATGTGCCTTACTGTCATAACATTGGTATGTGGTGAAATATTCATATAAGTCTTTATGTACAATACACATTGTTAAATGAAGCACAGGATTATCCTCAGGAGAACAATTATACCTGGGACTGGCTTTCTTGCTGAATCTGCTCAAAAGGCAGAATTACATGTATAAATGTTTCAGTCCGAGATTGATTGGCATATTTTGATGTGAAGCACTTGATTAATCTTTTATTGAAACACAACATGGCTCTACCTGATACCAGTCTCTCGTGTCAGGTTAGTAAGTATAATTATATTTTTAGTACTTTAATCAGGCTTTAAGAGTTAGGTTATGTTCTGCCCTTCATCACAGCTAGTTCATCAAGGCCTGTAATGGATTACAGAGACCCGAATAACAATTTGGAGAGGACTCATTCATGGTAAATACACCTATAAATCTGGTGATTACCAAGAAAACAGGTTTATATTAGTGGAAATGGCTGTACTTGTTGAACCAGTTACCTGCCACAAGATCCAGTCTTTTCTGGCCACAGAAGTTCTTTTAATTACATGAGATTGATTTTTTCAAGCAAATAACAATAACAATAGTATTTATTGTAGGGGAGGAAGTAAACAATGCACAAATCACAATGTATAAAGAAACCAAGTGATTCATCATTTGCACAAGGAACCAGGATGTTGTGGATATATATAATTGCCTGTTAATGCAGTTGTTTCTATCACTGGTCACAAGAGGCAGTGAAATGAAGCAGCGGCAGAAAAAATACTTCAGCAAAAATGTATAAATTTTAGTTAAAGACAACAAATTTTTATATCTCTCACATACTGGTTAAGAGAAAGTTTTTAAAGTGCATTATCATAGTTGGAACACATATTAAAAGGTCTTCCAACTAATATGTATGTGGTTATGTGTGCCCTGAGGTGAGATCGATTCAGCTTGAGGAAGACGTTAGTTATAAGGTCATACTGACTGCTACCTCAGTACTGAGGTCAGGTTAATGCATTCTGCCTGCCCAGAGTAGGCCTGCTGTGGCTTTCAGTTAACAGGGTGCATTTACACAGGTAAAATTTGGCATGGTTCTGAGGCCTTCTGTAGCATTGTGCATTATGTATGTGTGTGTTCAGACAGGTAGAGCAAGGCTGTTTATTGATTAATATTGTGCATAAACCATACTTTCTTTTTAACTTCATTAGTTAATTGTAGTAAATTGATAGTTGTCAGGCCAGCAATAGGCCACCTATGCCAGATATACACAGTTGCCCCATTCTGACATAATCTTTGCTGTAGTCATACCACAGAGCACAAGTGTTAAGGTCTCACTCTAAATGCTAATATTAGTACTACTGATTTTTGCCAAATGTGTGGGCATATTTATTTATGGCTTGAGTATGATAATGTATTTTTAACTGAATTGCAAGTTTATTTTTACATCATAATGACTTAATAGGAATACAATAACCACAACTGATTTATTTTTATTTTCAGATCTTATAATCAAAAGAAGTTGTCTTACAAGTTATTAAAAAGTCCTAGCAATCATTTGATGAGTTGGTAAGTTTCAATTTGTGTTGTCTTTAAAACTTGTTGCATTTATTTACATATTTATTTTTCTTTATGTATTACTGTCATATTTCATATTACATGTATGCTATAGACATTCAAGAGTGAGAACTATCATTTCTTGCTTGCCTTGAACCATCTACAATACTGCCTTCCAAGTAGTATGATCAATTCCATTTTTTAAGTGTGACCCCATATTAGGTACCTTCAGGAATATGCTGTCCATCTCCCTGAGCTGTGTAGATTGTTCTGTGTGTGTCCACCTGTGAGTGGGTGTAAATAGCTGTATAGATAGTTCCAACATGCAATACTGGCTCTCAGCTTAGTCACGGCTCCTTAGCAACCAATGTAAACTAAATCCATAATGGCAGCTTCATTGAGGGAATAAAGGCAGTACAAGTGCTGTCATCAGCTGACCACCGATGGCAGTCTAGACTTGGGATCTGACCAGAAGCCAGGAAGCAGCGCTGTTCCCATGCGGTCGCAAAATTTCATAGTTAGTATTGTAATGTGATTACTGTTGTGCCATTGTTCAATAACTTCCACTTGATAAACATATTTTTCTATTTATTTTTAAACAAATAGGACAAGGAAGAAGATATTTGTAGAAGATTGAGTTCTGTTAATCACACTGAGTTACCATGAACTTCAGATTCTTGTAGGCTGTCCCGTCAACTGAATGGAACAAGTTTGTGTCTGTGTAAGCTTTAGCCTACTGCAACCTTCATTCTTCTACTGATAGATTTCTGTGTGAATGGTTTAAAAGTGTGGGAAACAATAGGATTGTTGAAGTTGGAAAGCAAAAAAATCAATAGATGGACACCCATTAGGTTGGGTCAAAGTCAGAAGCTGTGTCTAAAGAAGAAATGCATGACTAGTTTAAGTCAGTCTATTTTCAGAATTTATCATGCTGTGTAATTTGTATTAATTTTCAGCATCCTTATAATATTTCATTCTCGAAAGTTTTACTTGTTGTATATCTAATAGTGACATGGACTTACAGGCAGATAAAAAATTAAAGGTTTAAATTTAAGATATTTCAAAGAATCCATTAAAATTCAACAATATTTCAATTTGTACTACATGATTTTGCCTCTTACATAAAACATTAAAATCAACAGATTGGAATCAATAGCTTTTGCATTATGTATGATGATTTGGAATATGTGACCGTCTTTTATACACTAACAAGCTGCTTCAAGTCTTTTAGTCTCTTTATCATCCATGCCCTGACCAGGAATATATTTCTTTTATTTTGCCTTCAGCAACCCTCTACCATAGTACCCTTTATGTTCCATACAGGCCCTTAACTGGACTGATCCACTTGATTACAATCCAGTGTTTATAAAGCTGGTTATTCCTTTGTATGATTCAAACACAACTTGTCTATGCAGTTCTTATTTTACCTTTTAGCATGTTGCCCCCATGGTGATTGAGAAAGTACCTATCAGTTGGATAGAGGTATTTATCCAAGAAAAGGTTATAGCATTCTTGATTTTGGCATTGCATGTACGGATAGTGCTTTTTGTATTGAGTATAGCAAGGATATTATGAAAGCCAAAACATTTAAAACACAGAGGCCATACCTCGCAGTCCTATTGTGCTGCGTTGGATTTCATTGAATTGTTTTAAGATAACTTCTGAGAATTTTAAATGTTTACTTCACTGGTTTTCTTTCTTTTTATCAAAGTATGTACAAGTGGGAGTGAAGGAAAGTGTGCAAATTAACGTGACTTGTGGGAGGCAGAGAGAGAACTGCTTGACAGACTTTTCTTGTCATGCAATGGGTCAAATTTGTAAAAGTCTCAAGTCTCATTTAGAAACATAAAAGAATGAGAAAGTGGGGGAGGGGCAGGAAGAGTCGCATGTTAAAGCCACTGAAACATGAAAGTAAAAACATGACAGCTACATGTGCACGGCACCACAGCTTTCTCATCTGGGCTATCAACAATAGAGCAAATGCAATAGTCAGATATCTGTAGCAGATGGTAGAATAGATGGATGCTAAGGATAGGATTTTTAAAGTAAAGTATTTAAGTGTGTGCTTACCATTAAAGTGAAGGTGAAATACAAGATTGTGAAGGAAGAGAAGACAAAGAAAAAGAGAAAGAGGAATAAAGAAGAAACATCCCTAGGTCACACTTACAAGGCCTGACGATGCAATTTGACAATATTTTGTTCCTTAAACCACCAACAGACAAAATTTCTCTAAACTTGGGGACAAAAATTTAGGATAAATTTATTTGTCCTATTAGAAAATTACCAGTGGTGAGAAGCATTAACTGTTTCTTTCTTTTTATGATTTGGGTGCAGTATTTTCAGACCAGCTTTCAATGCTCTGAACTCTTATAGTGCCCTAAGTCACTTTCTTGGTCATTTGCCCATTCACTTGGTCTTGTGCCTGGAAAATTTCCCATTCACCTGATCACTTATTTCAAATTATCCCCATCTCTGCCTCACAGAAATTGTATTTTAATACAACTTTGAAAAGAAACAAAAACACATTTTGGAACTTAAAAGAAAAAACACCTTTTGGTTTCAAATTTATTATTTATTCAGAATCTATGAGGAATATTTCTTTCTGTGTACGTCTTCTTGTTGTTTGATTATTTATGTGTCATCAGCGATAAAGTTGGCCGTCTTTCTATACTGATACTCTGCCACAGTATAAAGACAGTTATAAATTTACTGTTAAGTATAAATTCTTTTTTTTTTCCTTTTTAAGACATGAATGTAGGCTGTTTATACCTGTTTTCGATAAGTAAAGAATCCTTATCACAGTTATGATGAGTGTAGGCTGTCAATAAGCTCTATTATATATAGCCAGCCTCTCATGAATTCCATTTTATGGGATTAGGACATGACCATAATCTGTTTCAAGAGAAACTTAGTACATATACAATATATGATAAAGGCATCCTAAATATACTTTAAGGATTTTGTCACCCTTCGCCCAAAACTCATTTACTGCCCTACATACATTCTTTTGGTAATAGGTAAATCTTCAGTATTTATTGACTAAATTAATTAACATTTACACATGTTATCTTTTGGGGTAAAAACTGAAAAATTAGTTTCTCAAATTTCTTCTTTATTTGAGCATCCAGGATCACCGTTTCAACTTTGATTTAATGACACTCTTTAATACTCCAAAACCCTGACAGTGATCTTTCTTAGACGTCTTAGTTGAGAATTTATCATTGGTAAAGCAAAATAACGCCTTTGTTTAATAAAACTCTGTAATTAGGGGCTCATAACTCAATAACAAAAACATGTAAACTAAAATGACGGCACGGGATTGTAGCCCATAGAATCGTGGTTAACTCTGCCAATTTTCGTGATAAAATCTTGTTTAGGGGTGAAGTTACGCCCCATACCGATTGCGGTCTCATCTCAAAATAGAAAGGTATCAGATTAATGATTAAAGCTTTGAGTTGCCTGTACTTATAAATTGCATTGAGAAATATAAATGCAGATATTTTATATATAAAATCAGCACAAAGATAGATGCATTATTGAATAATTAGATACAGGAAATGGGTATTGGTATCTGGATGATAATAAAGGGTTACAACATCCTTAAAATCCTACTTAAGGGATATTGGTGTGAAAGAATTTTTATGTACAGACACAGATGTGTCTGTACATATTGCCATCACCTGCGTCTGTCGTCACCGTCGACGATGCCGATGCCGGCGCCGTGCACTTTCCTTGTAAACACGATAAGTGGAGGGCAGTTTTACTTTCTGGCTTTATATTTACAGAGCTGATGAATATTCATAAAACGCAGGTCAAATTCGAAAATCAGCATGATCGGGCCATTATTGTAGAAGTTATGCATTATTGTAGAAGTTATACTGTTTTTTCACATTTCCTCAGATTCAATTCTTAGGCATGTTAACAGTCTCATTATTAAACTAATAAGATACGTAAAAGTATTTGTTTGACATTTCCTGCATCTTTACAACATTGTTAGTTGATTTTGTAAAAATGATGGTAAACTTGTTATCGTGTATTGTATAATAAAGTTTCAAAAATGGAAATAAACTCATATCATTGCAGTTTGTCAAATTCAATCATTCACTATGTTCAGAGTCTCAGAATGGAAGAAATTGGACATTTAACACTGCTCTATTGATATTTTTCCCATCTCATCAATTTTCTTATGTGATCATATAAAAATGGCAGTAAACTGTTAATTTTGTTTTATGTTAAAAATTGTTAAAAATGGGAAAAAAAACATTTCAGAACAGTGCTGTCTTGTTTCCTTATCCACTAAGAATATACAGAAATAAACTGTCAAGTTATGAGATGTCTTGCAAACATATCAATGAGTTAGCTAACTTGAGCTGATAATGAAACAGCAGCAATTTTGAGGTGAAGACTGTATTTATATAGATGTCAAACAGATCCCTCACCCCTGAATGACTATCAACAACATTTGAACTACTATTTAATCACAGCAATAAGTACTACAATCTACTACTAACATTTTTTAAAGGCTAACTTTTGATTTTATCAGTAAAGAGGCCAAATAATCTCTTGATTTTATTGGACATTGTAATTAGGGGCTCATATCTCCTAAACAAGAATGTTTAACCCAATTCTGGCGCCAGATTGTAGTGCACAAGCTAGTTGTCAACCATACCAATTTTCATGATAATATCTTACTTAAATACTTAGGTACAGAGTTACTTTGGAAACCAATCACTATATCTCACACCAACTTCCAAACCAGTAAAATTGATGATTAACTCTTGGAATTCCTAGGTGCAGAAGCAAGGGGGTGTCTAAAAAAAAACTTAAACTAAAAGAGAATTTCTGATTTGAAAGTTTATTTTTATTATGCTAAGATTAGGATAAGTATTTCAAATAAAAGGCAGAGGAAGCTATTTTGCCAAATGTAGGCCTTTAGCATGTATCGATCCTCCTTAATTCCAAAATTATGACCCACCGTAGCAAGATGTCTATTGAAAAATATAATTACATATTATTTTAATGCAAATTATATACTGTGAACCATTTAAGAACAATTTGAGATTATGTTTTCTGATCCTTTTCTCTGCATGATACCTTACAGTTGATATTAATATGTTTTTTAGTTGCCAAGCAAACCTGAAACTGAAAAATGGTTTTATTTTTACAACAAAAGCACTGCTATTATTGCATTTGACAGATCATAAAACTGAATCTTAGACTAAGAATCACAGTATTATTTTATCAATCACTTGTGTGAGGTCATCCCAAGAGCACACATCTAAATCTAAACTTGTAATCCTTAAATAATACATCTTCAGGGTTCAACTTTACTGACAAAGTTTCTGGTATATAATGATCAAAATATGTTCTGCTTCTGTTATCAGATAGTTCCAGACATATTGCTTTACTGTCTTAATTTCAACATGAGCCAAAGGGAAGAAGGGTATTTTGAAATAAGATCAGAGGTTTACAGGGTTTACAGCCTCTGAACAAAAATTATATCATAAGTGGAATTAATTGCAAGATGTCCTAGAACCATAATGTTAACTCAGGTACTCTCTTTTCCACTAAATTGGTGAAAAAGTAAGTTCTACAATCCAGTGCCAGCAATTATTATTATGTTTATTAGTTCCCTTAAACTTCCTGCCCAATACCTATTCAAATCAAGTGTGGGAAGAAAGCATGTTTTTGAATGTGCAGTGTTGTGGGAGGGGGATGTCTGAGACGTACTTTGCGTGCAGATTAAAATTATAACTAATCAGTTTTTTTTTCTTTTTTGCGTGGGATGGGTGCATGTAGGAAGTGGGAGGTGACAGGGATAAAAGGCCATGAAGCACACATTGAGATTTTTTTAAACTTAGAGAGCAATTGAACTGGCAAATTCCAAGGCCATTTCAACACAGTGTGGTATTGCGGTCTACATGCAATGTATCAATATTGAATAACCTCATTGCAGTCATGTTCTGAGTGGGTTTAAGTGTTTAGGGGATGAATTTTAGAAATAATAGTTTTTTTAGGCAGTTGTTATTGATATACTATGTTTGTGAGTGTGATGATGACGCAGTAAGGTCATTTGGAAAGCTAAAGCTTATTTCTGTCATATACATTGGTCTTTGATGATCATGTGTAGCTTACAGGTATATTCATTGCACTGGAAAATTTTAGTTTCCTTTAAATAAAAGCTTAAGAAAAAGTAACACTATTGATCCATGAAAATTGTAGATAAAAAATAGATAAAATGAAAAGTTGATCTTACGACATTAACGCTATGAATGACACTGATAGCTGCTATATAAAAAATCAAAGTAATTAAATTAAATCCCTGCCTTTGTTTACCCTCTTATGTAGTGCAGAGGCATGCTGACATACATGTGCACATGCACAATTGTGCACGCACACAAGCGTACACACTGGACACACACAGGAATACACAACTGCAAAAGGAAGATAGATACTTGCTACAGCTGCCCTGTTAAACCCCTATTTCACACAGACCATGAAACCCACGAATCGCCAGGAATTGACAAATTTCAGAATTTGTGAGATTTTGCAAATTTTCTGGCAAATTCGACACGCTTACGATTCAGTTACGATACAGGTGCGATAGTGTTACGAATATTCGTGGAATTCGGCTTGAATAACGCACAAATATTGTCAAAAAATTCACTACGATTTTTTTGGAATCGGGAGTTTGTGGCCAAAATTTTGAACAGCTCAAAATTTTTGCCACAAATTCCCGATTGATCAAGAATTGCAAGAACTGATTACGAATATATACGAATCTGTTAAGAACTTCACGAACTGATTACGATTCAACCACAAATCCTGAAATTTGTCAATTCCTGGCGTTTCATGGGATTCGTGGTCTGTGTGAAATAGGGGCATCAAATTTTTTCCACAAATTCCTGTTGGTCAAAAATTGCAAGAACTGACTATATATGAATATATATGAATCTGTTAAGAACTTCACGAACTTTGAACTTTGAACCCTCCGATTACGATTCAGCCACGAATCCTGAAATTTGTCAATTCCTGGCGATTCGTGGGATTCGTGGTCTGTGTGAAATAGGGGCATTAGAAATGAACAAGAAGATGAGCATCATTTAAAATGGAGTTGTTATAAATATAAACAAGAAAGATCTGGACAGTTCTTCAGTGTCAAATATAACTTTTCTCAATTTCAGCAATGTACCAAAGAGGAAAAATTCATAAGATGTTTGCTTCCAAAAATGCTGCTTTATTAATCAATTAAGTAGATATCCCCAAGTGTGTTTTAAGATCTAACAAATGACTCTCACTATTTTGTGTGTGTGTGTGTGTGTGTGTGTGTGTGTGTGTGTGTGTGTGTGTTGTTTTGTTTGAACCCTCCTTTGCTTTATGGTAAAATTTTCCTAACATTAAAGAACCCCCCAAACTTGACCCTTTCCATCTGACAGAGGTAAGTATTTTATGGATATATATGTATATGTAACTTTTAACTTTTACATGTATTATTTTTCCCTGTAATTGTACATTTACATGTGATTAGTTTTCTGCGAAAGGAAAGGTCAGGATAGATCATTCTGAGAATATCATGACTAACTAGATATGTAAGATATATAATCTTGGTTATTTAACGAGTAAAACTACCAGTAGAACGTGTGGATATGTTCAAGTGGAGTCGAAGTGTTCAGTTAGTGCCATTCCATGTTTTTTTCTACCAGGTGGTGAATACATGCCTCAGCTGTGTCTGTACCTAAAACTTTTTAAATGAGGAATCTTTTTTTTTTCTTGGCATTTTCTGCATAAGTTGCCATCAGATCCAGTTGTAAGGTCACCTAGTCCTTTCTTCCTACTTTTTTGCTTTACAACCCAAAATCATATCTGCTAAGTTTTCCTTTAAGATGAAAACTTTTACATTCAAATTTTGGTAAAGATTGTGCATTGCCTGAAGTCAAATATTGTAGCCATACAGACATGACAGACATGTTGAAATGACATAGTTGCCAATCAACAGGCATCCTTGGAATGGCACAAAATTACTGATAGGTTCAATAATGTAGAAAAGTATGAAGAAGAAAGGTAGATAGGTAAACTATTTTACGGGCATTCTTATTTGATGTATTATTTGATGTACCCAAATCAACATGATAATGAATAATATCTGAAAAAAAGGTTATGCTGTTTTTAAAGCAGGAATGTGCACCAGGTTTATTTATTTATTTATTTATTTATTTATTTATTTATTTATTTATTCATGAGTTTAAAAGTTTCAAAGGCAAAAGCTGGACCACTCATGTGTTTCATCTTTGCAACAATTCTCCATCTTTTACAAGTGCTGCAATAACTTATGAATATATTGTTCTGTTTCAGAGAGACTGAAGATTTATATCATTTTTTTCAGTCATCTAAGCTTTTTTACACAGCAGGAAAACAGTTCTTTCAAGTTCAGATGACAGTCCTTGAACTTTTTTATTCTTTCAGACTCCAGTTTGCTTGAAGAGGTGGAACGGTTTTGTTCACTATGGCTGTCCATCTGAAGATCCCAGTGAGGATTCGGCTGAAATGTTCCAGTAGACTCTCGGAAATGAAATTTGCTGTAAGTTTTGTGATATCTTGAAGTCGTCAGTAAGCTAAGAAGGGTATGACATCACTTAATGTAGATAAGTTTAAGAATAGAACAACATCAAGCTGTCCTGTTGATTTTTTAACATGGGGAGGATGTCCCAGCTGCTTGGTATGATGTCATTTATGCATTTATGTTTGTATATGTATATCAAAAGGACAACATACATGGCTTCAATACTTCAAACTGAAGACAAACTAAATGATCCCATGCTGGGGACACTTGGAGCAACACAAATGGTAGTCAAGTGATACTATCACAGTTGGCTGAAAAAGGCCCTCCCTGAAGAATTCTCTATTGTGTTTCTGGCTATCTTGCCCATAAACTAGGCTAGTTATTATGTTTTAGAGTGAAGTTTCCAATATATTCCTTTGGTTCCTTACTTCCTGTGCATCCCTTTGAAGTTTGAAGGATTTTTTGTTTTGCTTTGGCTTTGGATTTTTCTCTTTTTTTTTTCATTTTTGAAATAGTAATATTTTTAAAATTTTATCCAGTTGAAGAAAAAAAATTATGGAGAAAAATACTGTTAATTCTTTGAAGATGACATTATATTATAAAGATTTTTTGTTGTCATTAATGTATATAAATAAATATTTATACATGTTGAATAGATGAAAAAAAAAACAGACTGAAATTTAAACTCAAAACTCTTTTGTTTGATTCCATACATTTCATTTTGTGATACCTCATGGTATTTTCTCTGGTACCTTAAGATTTTGACCCAATAGCTCTTATACAACTCTTGTGGCATTCACTTAAAAATCACAATATTGCAATGAAGGTTTTTAATTTGTAGTTTTAATTTGTAATCTCTAAGAAGAGATGATTTATCTGTTTTGTCTACTTAGTACACAACACTGTACTTTAAACTAAATTAATAACAAGATAGAAACACCTTGTTCGATATGAAAACAACATAGAGGTAGAGCCATTTATTTATTACTAAGTACATTGCTAGCACTTTCCCCCTTATTATTAGTTTTTATTACATCCATAGCAGATCTGATAAACAGGATATCTTAGTCATCATCTGCTGCTCTTTCCCTGCTCATCTTGAGCACCATTTTCTTAAAGAACCCCTTTAACCCCCCCCCAATAAATAAATGAATAAATAAATAAATTGCAATTTCAGTTCTGAGGTCAAAATTCTTGGTATGTTAAAAAAAAAACATTTCTAAACATATCATTTACTGAAGTGATAATGTCCATGTTAGAAAATTGTATCTTACTTAGATAAATCTTAATTGTTTGTGGCCTTCAAAATGTTCTAGGAAGTTACCCGGAAAAAAAATTACCACCCCTCCCTCCCCTTTACAAATAGGTTTTTGTTATCTTTTCACTATATAATTTTTACACCATATTGGAATAAATAAATTATTCATAATTAATAAGTAATTAATAATTAAAATTATGTGTTTTTGTCTTATTTTAATGATATTTGAATGCTGATTCAAGAACCTTATTCAAACTAGAAATTGCATATAAAATATGTGCAAAGAAATAGCAAATGTGCACAAATAACATGATGGCTTTCTTTATTTATAATTAATTGTAATGCCAGGGAGAGTTCTATTTCTTTCATTGCAATAATAAATGATTAAGGTCATTGAACTACCTGTTTTCCTGGAATCTTGGTTGCAATCTGATATACAAGAAATTTGTTTGATAACAAGATAGAAAAATTGTAGACCTTTCTCACTGCTTATTAGATTGATTGAAAGTCTTAGTGTACTTTTTTACAAGTAGATATGATTTTTTACGAGAAGAAGTTAGTGGGAACAAAAATGTGCAAAAGTGTTTTGATTTATACTGGTTAAAAAAAGAAAGATAATTATATATTACCCCAGATGCTCAACAGCAACATTAAAAAAATTGCCTAAATCCAATTTATGTTCACAATTTTCTTGGAATGTTTTCCTGACATTTTGTTAAATTCTTTGAACTAAAGAATTGCCCTTTCATTTGAATTAAAATAGTAGTTTGTTGAGAAATATTGTAGGTGTGAACAGGTAAGAGAAGGAGGAGACCATGGAAAGTCATTTACTAACTAATTAGTTCATGGAAATAAAGAATCATTGAAATTAAATGTTACCCAGTTATCCAAACAATTTAGCAAAATAGAGGTTCATTTTCAGAGAAAGAGGCATACAGGAGAAGTAATTACACAAAAAAGTATGTCAAATCATACCTCTTTTTTCCCAAGAATTCCAGGGAAGAATTAGTGGAAATGTGTGAAATTTAACAGTACTGCACTACATGAGTGACAATGATCCTTTCTGATTTGCTTGCTACTTTGATCCAATTGAGGGGTGTTGTGCCATGGTTGCCATGGAGTGGGTTTATATGTTGCTAGTGCCTTGTTCTGGGAAAATATAGTGGGAAGCAAGTATAAGATGTGCCGAGGGCCCTCTCACCATACATAAACACATGCACAGTCAGGTAGGATAAGATGCAGTGCAGGGTTACCTGTGCATTTTGAAATGCTGAAAATACCCGTTGTTAATAAGCATGTTATTGGCAGTGGACAACTATCATGGTAGTCAAAGTAAAACTGTTTAGAATACTTGTTGATGAGGATAAGCGCTAATGCCGAGAGAGATTAGAAAGTGTGCATCACACTTGTCCTCTCAAAGGATGTGGGTTCTGCTGCTTTCTATTTTGTATAGCTTGAAAAAACGAGGCCCATTAATGATGTTTTTTAATATATTGTTATTGATATTTTGTTTTGAATTTCAGGTGAATATCCTTGTTAGTGCTAGGAACATGGGATTCACAGAAGATTGCATATCCATGGTGAGTAGCCGAAAGTGCTAGTATTGTTTCAGTGTGAAGCAGATGGGTTAGTTAATTAAGTATAATTAATCAGTGCAGATGGCATAAAATAAGATGAATTGGTTTTATGTGACTTGTCTCTTTACTGAATTGTAAAATAATCTGTTGGCCTATGCTCACGCAGATATGTCAGTTTTTTTTAATTGTTTTGTTTGGAAAATTGACACTATCAGTAATTATTTGCCAATTTATCATTATGGTCAAATTAAAAATATTTATAATTGAATATTTTTGTAAATTTTTGAAAGGAAAATTGTAGTTTATAATTGACCCAGCATACAAAATTATGCATTGCGTGTTCGCTATTAACCATTTGCATGTGATGCGATAATTTTCTACAACCGTAAAGTAATGGCAGAGTAGATTCTCAGGATGGTTCAATGTGGTAAAAAGAAAGGGTGAAGTGTGTGTATTGGGGAGTAAAATTAGATATGTGGCATTAAATTTGCTGGTTTTTATTGTGGGAAAGAGGTTTTCCACTTTATTAACTTAATATATATTTATTCATTTTATTTTTGTGTTGTTTTATTTCCAAGTGATAATTGTAAGACCACTGAATTTACACATTCTGAACTATCTACTGGCATACATCAGACCAGTGGCTAATGTTGCAGAATGCATCATGTGTGCAAGTGCATGCATCGTGCATGTTTGCACGTGTAACCAGTTGAGCATAGGTATTTAAAAAAATTATTGTATCAAATATAGTTTTAGTGCCCCGCAGTGTGGTAGCATGTATTTATAAAGCATAGCATGGTGCATATAAACCAATTGATATGAGAGTTTGTGGTATAAGCATTTGATGTTTGCGTGTATTTGTTAAATACAGTCATTGGATAGAAAGGATGAATATGTTGATACAGTATTGACCTTAAATACAAGGGTTGGAAGTGGTTTTATTGTTCAGTCAGTAGCATTATATATGGTAACAAAGTAGAGTCCTTTTTTTTTTTGTAAAAACTAATATAATGTTTTTCTGTGTTATACTTCAGGAAAAAAAAATAGCAGGTTCTTTTCAAAAATCAACTTGATTGAATTATTATGTTAAATATTATTGATTTTTTTCATGTATTTTGGTGACATTTTCCACTTAAGTGCCAAACCATATTTTTGTTTTACTTCAACTTTGCTAAATGCCTTTGTTTGGTATTTATTTGGAGTTATTGTATTACCAGCGTAGGTGCTGGGGATACCCATGGTTTTAGACCTGACCCATCTCATCTGCCTGCTCCACTGCCATGTCACCATTATGGCTTCTCCTCCTAGGGTGCTTTCCCAGAGATTTAGATCAATCTAAAGATTAAGATTTAGATCGACCTAACTCCCTGGGGGTTCACGCTAAATTGCAGTCAGCCGAGCGGGCACCATAGTTAATTACCCCCTTACAGCTTTTAGTAGGACAGACGCTTAAGCCGGCCAAGCTGACAGTAATCTAGTGAGACTCCCTACAGGGATAGATCGAAATGGGGTGCTAGACTACAAGGGCCTGTGTACCATCGCTTAGATTTAGGTCACACATAAGTTCAACTCATTCAACATAAATTTTGGGCTCTGTCAGTGTGCTGGTCTTGGTGTGGCGCTCATCCCAATGCAAAATTTGTTAAATATTTCCCAAACCGAAGGAATTATGGGAAAAATTACTATAGAGGTCTGACTTTAAGTCATATGTGGAGATCCCAAGTATATGCCCTTGGATTTGACCTTAAACCTTTATTACAAAGTCAAATGGGTCAAAATTTTCTAAAAATGGAATTTTCTTCAAAAGATTTTTTGTTTGTGCCAATTTTAAAAACAACACAAACCTAACCTAGAAAATAATGGGCAGGTGTTACACAAAGGGTCATCTTTCATCTTTGGGATTTTAAGGTCAATCAGTGCATTTTCAAGGGAGAGGCAGCCATTAGATGCAACTCTCTCTCATTCTGAAGCTGAAAATGCTAGAGACCTTATTTTTTGCATATTGTAGAATTTAATTTATTATCAAACGCAGTACTGGAATTGGTGTCTGTTTTTTTTTTTTTTTTTTTTTTTTTTTGCTTTCCAGATGGTTTAGGAGTTGTGCTATATCAAAACATACAATGTCACAATAAAATAATGTGAAAATGAAATGTTAAATATTCCAAAATTAGTAGAGATACGCTCATAGTTACTGTTGAACTTGAAAAGGGAGCCATACATAGCAAACTAGCTGTGACCTTTAAATTAACCTTTGACCTACTTTTCATGATGAACTGCACTTTTCAAATTTTATTACCCTTATATCTCAAAAAATGGTAGAGATGTGCCAATAGTTACTATTGAACTTGAATAGGAACTCATATATTGACTGTCTTTCTTTGACCTTTGACCTACTTTTTACCATTAACTGAACTTTGCAAATTTTCTGACCCTTATATCTCCAAAACTGGTAGAGGTACATGTACGCCCATTGCTACTATGGAACTTAAATGGGAAATCATGTATTAGCAATCTTACTGGGACCTTGAATTTCATCTTTGACCTACTTTTCATGGTGAACTGCACTTAATAAATTTTCTGACCCTTGTATCTCCAAAACTGACAGAGATAAACCCATATTTACTATTGAACTTGAATAAGAACTCACATATTGGCAATGTTACTATGACCTTGTATTTGACCTTTAACCTACTTTTCACCATAAACTACACTTTGCAAATTTAGAAACATGCTTACAGGTACTACTGAACTTGAATAGGAAGTCATATTTGGTCATATTACTGTGATCTTGAATTTTACCTTTGACCTACCTTTCACCATGAACTGCACTGCAAATTTTCAGGCTCTTATACGGCCATATTTACTACTGAATTTATATTCACAATCTTACTGCAATCTTGTATTTGACCTTTTACTTTTACCCACGATTTTGTTGTAAATTGTAATTTTTTTTACAAAAAAAAAATTGAGAACTCTTGTTTATTAAATCTATTTTTTTTGTTTTCAGGTGTTATGTCCCAGTGTATGGTAATCCCAGCAAGTACATGAAGATGTGACATGTCCAGTTGATCACTTAAAACTATGGATGAAAAGTAGAGACAAATCAGTACTTAACCAAAACTAGACAATGTGTATGATAAAAATTTTATAACCTAGGCCACTGCAAGCTTTTCTTTTTCTGAGAAAAAATGGAGGCTGCAGTTCAACAACAGCAGGAGAAAAAAGCTGAAAAAACCTCAGCATCTCCATCAGAACAGACTCTGTTGTCATCTTCTCTACTTGAGAAGGAAGCTAAAATGCAATCTCTAAAGGAGTTGGAGACACATGGTGATGACCAGCCACAGCAGGTAACCAAAGGTCACTTGGTTGTGGTGGACACTAAGGCCACTGGTGATGAAAAGAAAACAAGCAAGTCCAATCTTGGACCGCAACAACGAAGCAAGCCTCTTATTAGCCAGGAGAAAAAGAAAGAAGACTCTTTAACTTTGCCTCAACATCATGGAGAGCGCAGTACAATATCTGGACGTAGTAAAAGTTACGAGATGCGCCCCCCTGTGAGTGAGGTGGACTATTTGCTTAAACAAACAGTCCGTAGTCAGTCATCAGATAGTCCATTGAGTGGACGAGGCCAGCTGGTCAGGGGCAGTGCATATGGCCCCAGCTTCGGCTCAAAGGTGACTTTAACAAGAGAGCTACATGTCTCAGACAGAGGAGATCAGCATGATAATCTCATGTCCAAAGCTGTGTCAAGTACACCAGGTGGTCACAGCGGTGTAAGTTCAGCGGTCAGGGAGGCCAGCACAGCTGCAAACAGTCAAACTAACAAGGCTGGACATGTGGAGGAGGCGGTCACCACATTGAAGGCTGCTGCTGACATGTGGCAAGGTGACACCGCGGACACACAGCAGATGGTTCACCGCATAGGTGACACACATGAAAAAGAGAAGACTAATGTCAAAAAATTAAATGAACAAAGGAGTCAACTTAGTGCTGAGAAAAGTGAAAAACAGACGGAAAGAATGTGTGAAGTTGAAAAAAGTAGTTCTTTAACAGCTGCCAGTGACAGTTGCACAACAAGCACTAATTATCGCAGTGAGGTAGGGGAGGAAAAAGCACTTGCGCAGAAGTTCTTAACACCAGTTAAGCTAGGCTTAAAAAGTGCTTCATTTGCAGAGTATGAGGAGTCAATACGGCAGCAGGAGTCGAAAGCACATTCTCTTTCTCCATACTCTGGATATCAGCATGTAGCACGGCCAATTTTCAGATCAGCTGACAATCAGGATCTCTTGCACCCAGCCACTGGGAAAGGCACTTATATTCCAGTCAAGTCTCACTCTTTTCATGGAGAAAATGAAGAACATTTTCTGAAACCACAAGAACGCCCATATCCAGCCCCTTCTAGGTATTTTGAACAGGCTCTAAAGAAATATTATTCGGATAAAACTGTGTCTGGTTCTTATAGTCCAGGACAGTATTCTCAGCGTTATGTGACCCATATCAAAGATCTCCAACCTCCGAGAGGAGAAAGAGCAAATGTAACAGACTCGCAGGGACCTCTTCATAAGAGTACTAGTTTAAACTTGTCTTCTCTGGCTTTAGACTCTGTAGATCGTAGCTCGCCTGAATTGGGAGACGCAGCCCCTGCCCATGAACCAGAGCATCCTCACAGTGACCCTGTAAAGACTGATGAACAACTGGGCAGCACAGAAACAAAACCTTCTGAGCACACAGGAATTGACACAGAATCCAAGAGAGAAGCATTTAAAGAAAACTGGAAAAAACAGCAAAACTTACTCAATCGTAGTTTCAAAAAATATTTGCAAGCCAGGTATTTACACAGTCAGGCAGACTCAACTGAAAAACCTAACTCTACTAAGAGCACAGACTCTGTTAAATCAGATTTATCTTCTGTGATTGAGCAAAAACTGTCTCGTGGAGAGAGTTCAGACAAAATGGATGTCTCTTCTCCACCACAACAACATTTAAAAGAAACCATGGACCCTTTTGAACAACAGGAACCCTTAGATCTTTCTAGTCACAAGTCTTTGAGTGTGGAAAGTGAAGGTGACAATGATAGTTCGAAAGAGAGCCAGGAGTCCTCAGATAGACCTGGGAGTGGGAGAGGACGACGGCGCTTGGTGCGTCAAGATGAAGTAGAGGAGGAGGCAGCAGGGGAACTGGCATCACAATCACAACATCAACAGCGTTTAAATTACCCTCGCAGTATGAGCATTGATGACAAGGACTCTCCACCTCCTGAAAGCACTGAGTCTGAGGAAAAAGGGAGTGAACCACGTCACCGCAGCATGAGTATAGATGAAAAGAAGGACTCTCCGCCACACTCACCTCCCAGACAAATGAGTGTTGATGAAAAGCATGATGTATTTCCTCGTAGCATGAGCATAGACTCTGAAGATGGCGGCCTGCAGCTGCCACCAGCTCAAATAAAAACTGAATATCCACTAGAACTGAACTCATATCAAAACATTCTAGACTGGCAAATGAGGGCTTTTTACTCTTCTTTTATTAATGCCCCTCATACAGGACCCAAGCCAAGGAGATATTCGGAGCATGGGACGAGTTATACAGATGCACCTATTTGTGATCGTAGACGTATGATTCATGGTCGATGTATTGACCTTGATGATGCAGGACACCCTCAGTTACTGGAACCTTATCCACCAGCCCCACCCAGTCCACCACCACAGAGCAACAGAGGGGAGTCCTCGGTTACTCGGAGGGAGGGAGCCAGTAAAAGAATATCTGCAGGGGTGCCCTCCATAAAAATTACCCCACCTGAATTAAATGAGCCAGGCCGCACCCCTGTGATTACCCTTGACCCCCCTCCTTTCTCCCCCTTCAGCCCTGGTGTAATGAGTCCCCATTTTCCCCAGTCAGCACCCCCAGCTCTGCAGGACAGTAGCATGTTCTTTTGTTTCCCACCTCCGTCTAACCTAGCTAATTATTGCCCACCCAGCCTAGCTGAGATGGTAGAAAAACAGAGAGCAGAAATGACTGATAAAGAGAAGGAGATTGGTTATCTTTGCCCATTGTGTGGCCAAGGTTTTTCTGGATATGACAACCTGGCCAAACACATGGCCAAACATTTACCAACAGAGACTGTGAGGTCGGTGAAAATGGGCGTGGAGAGCAAGTTGCATTATTGTAAAGTTTGTAATCGTGCATTTTCACGAAGTGATATGTTGACACGTCACATGCGCCTCCACACTGGAATCAAGCCATATGAGTGCAAAGTGTGTGGCCAGGTATTCAGTCGGAGTGACCACTTAAATACACATCAACGCACACATACTGGAGAGAAACCGTACAAATGCCCACAGTGCCCTTATGCAGCTTGTCGCCGAGACATGATCACCCGCCACATGCGCATACATCGCAAGCATCCTAGAGGAGGCAAACTTTCGTCTTCTAACAGTAGTTCCCTTTCTCAGGGCTCCTTATCTGTGGACTCTGCTCGATCTCCATCTCAAGGCAGCAGCACAGACTCTCCTGAGGCAGCAGGGCTAAGTCCAAGTCCAGATAGGTCAGAGAGCATCAGTAAGCCACGGATGCCCTCAGGGTCCTCTTTAACCAGTCTGGATAGTTTAGATTCTGATGGGAAGAGCCGTCACTTGTCATTAACAAGCACAGAGAGCATGGAGTATCACAGTCCACATGCATTGCACCAATGGTCCTCTGCCAGTGTGGAGAGCACTGAATCTCATGGTAACGTCCCTCTTTCCAGGGGATGGTCTTCTGTTTCCTCAGAAGGGGTTGAACTTTTAACACCTCGAGAAAGACTACGCAAGTGGTCCTCAGCCAGCACAGAAAGTATGGAGTCTTCTCCATTCAGTCCAGTGCGGCCTACAGGTGGACACAAATTTAGCCGTTGGTCAGTCACAAGCTCAGGAAGTAAAGACCTTGACGATTCCTCAGACACACTGCAAACCTCTCTCACTAGTGCTGGAAGTGTTTCTTCAGATCCTGATGTGAAAAAGTTGTGGAATTTATCTGTGACTAGTCTAGACGATCCTTTAACTTAATGAAAGTTGGTGTTTATAAACCAATCTTAATATTTTTCATTAGTCAGGTTTTTAAAAAGGTGAAATTGGAGAATGATTTTATTTCACAAAGCTGCAAGCATTTCTCATTGTTTTTTTTCGAAAGTGCTTTGTAGTATATCTGCATTGTACAAATGAGTTGGAGAAAAGAGTGGCAGAAGGTCTACAGTCTGGAACTGCCAGTACTGTCTTGTGCAGGGTGGAAGTTAATTGTGTGGCAGGGCCACTGATTTGTAGAAGTGACTATTTTTTCCTTTGTAAAGTCACATTCTTCAAACTTGTTGTAACTTGATGACTTTTATTACCATAGTTGATAGTATTTTTACTGATTTTCCTCAGTTATAGAAGTTTATAACTGTCTTCTTGTTCTTATTGAGATCTTAATTTATATATATATATATGATGTAAACTTATATATTTGGAATATAAATAGAATATCGTTTTAACCTATTCATGGGAACCTTCTCTACATAACATCACAATTTACTAGTGTTTATGGTTTTTTCTTCTCCAAACAATTTTGCCTGTATATTTTGTTACATCTCTTCTGAGGGCTCTAGTCATATGTTGGTTCACTCCTGTATTATATATATTTCTGTTGTAGTGCTAGAAGAAAAATATTGAGATTAGTTAATAAGTCATATGATACCTTTATGCTAAGGTTGCATCAGTCAGAGCAGTGGTTATATTCTTTTGCCACTAGTGTTATTTAACTCTAAGGCTGTGTTCAGATTAAAAGTTATCGGTCCAGCAGGATCGAGCTATCTTTGCGAGAGTCCTTGCTTAAGTGCATTCAATGTCATCAACTTAATTGTCTGGCACACCCCCTCCAGAAGCTACGAAAGATATTTACCCCCTAGCTTCTGAAGGGGGCAGACCAGACAATTAAGCTCATTACAATGAGTGTACTTAAGCAAGAACCCTTGAAGAGATAGATCCATCTTGCTATACTGATAACTTTTAATCTGAGCACAGCCTACTAACTGCTTCTACCTTAAAGTAAAAGAACAAGTTTTAATAACAAAAAATAAACTCAAATAGTGTGACTAAGTGTTCAGTAGAGGCTTAGGTCTTATAACTTACCATGTGTCATCACCATGTTATAAGAGTCTCTTGTAGAACAAGTGAAATGTGTTGATAATGGTTTTAAAGATAAGTTGATAGGTTGCCCATTTCTTTCAGTTTTCAAACTTGTGCTCCAAATTGATTTCTGGAATTTTTTTCTACAAACATCGCATGTTTAAATAAGACCTACTAATTGGATTAGTGTCTGTTAGCATTCATTTACAAGTCTCTGAATCTGTGAAGTTAATATTTTTATGTGAAACAATTTTGTTTTGAGCAAAAGCATCATGTTGAACATGTGCTTCATTGATATATTACGCTTTTGTATTATATCTTATTGAGCAATATACTAGTAACTAACTTCTAGTAAAATGATTGATCAAAATTAAGCAATGCACACTTAGGCCCAGATTAATGAATTTGTACTGAAATCTTGTATTGTAAGTACTTTGAATTTTTATGTGAACAAAGGGATCTACCGTCATAATTTTACAACCTGACATCCATCAGATAGCTGTCTATCCAGAGTCTTAGTGATACTGTTCAAATTAACTTCTTTCCACTCTCAATGCCATTAAACAGAGTCTATTTATGTCTGTTTGCAGAACATTGAGGTGTGTATGAATATATTTACTACTTAGTTGACCTAAGTCGGTTACCTCAGATTATTGATCTCCATTAAGCTGAGCTTATCAATTATGGAATATTGGTTATTGAACTGCAGAGTACTGAAACTGTAACAGTTGATGTAAATTATAGTGTTTTGTGTTCATCCAAATCCCTTAGACCGAGTAATCAGTAACCTTATGTACAGAAATTGAGCATGTATTGAACGATTAAGCCAGGTAATAGTAATTGTTAATATGAATTACTTAATATGTAACAGAGTCTTGTCAGCCAAATTAGAGCATAATATTTATGACATTTACACAGAAATCATTTTACTACAGTTTATAACTGGTTAGTTTAAAGGCAATGGTTCAGATTAGTAGCCTGTGTTAGAACATATCCAGTGTAAAGCTTTGCAAAAGATTTGAAAAATTCTCCCATGATTGGGGAGATGGCACAGTCTTAAGAAGGGTGGGTGCACATTCTCAGAAATTTATATTCCACATCTTTTTCAAACCACAACCATGTTTTCCCCAAATATGTGATTTTTAACATAATTTGCCCCTCCTTAAAGATATTGTTAGCCCTTGCCAAAAACTCCTTATTTACTGCCTTAAATTCATTCTTTTGGATAACAGGTAAATCTTCAGTGTTCATTGACTTAATTAATTAACATTTACATGCATGTAATCTTTCTGGTGACGTCATAATTGCAATTTTGGGGTAGAAATTGAAAAATTGGTTTCACAAATTTCTCCCTTACCTGAGCACCCACAAACACCTTTTTATCGCCAATTTAACGACACCATTTAGCAGTCTGAAACCATGCCCACGATTTTTTTAAAAAGCTTAAGTTCAGGTTTTATCGTTGAAAAATCAAAATAATGCCTTTGTTTAATAAAAATCTGTAATTAAGGGCTCATAACTTCATAACACACATTTAAAACCAAAATGACAGCACGTGACTGTAGCCCATTGACTTGTGGTCAACTATGCCAATTTTCCTAATAAAATCTTGTTCAGGGATGAAGTTAAGCCCCATGCCAATTGCTATCTTACCTCAAATTAGAAAGGTGTTAAATTGACGATAATAGCTTTGAGTTGCCTATGCTTATATATTGCAAGGAGAAAAAAATATTTTCGAGGGGATTTTTATTGTTTTAAATCAGCAAAAAGATGGACACATTTAGAATAATTAGATGTCAGAAAAACCATTTTCGGTATCTGGATGATATTAAAGACATGCAATACCCTTAATAACTTCTTTCACTTACTGTTGCTGCCCCTAAATGTGCCACTTTGCTGTGAGGTGATGCAGTACAATAGCTTAACATATTAGTAAATTTTGACCACTTTTTTTGTAATGAAAGCATATGAACATGCCTGCATAAGAAGTTTATCATATCTAACACTTCTTCTAAAGATATGTACCCTACCTTAGTAAGACTGCACCCCCTCCCTACCCCACCCCTCCACCACCACCATTACCAGGGAACCATAGATCCAGTTCTTTAGACATTGGAAAAAAATATGCTTTTTACATTATTACATACTATAAATATGTGTTCAGTATTTCTTGTGTTTTGCACATTCTGGATTCACAGATTGCAATTGGTGAATAGAACAAACTTTTGAGTGGATTTTCACTTGATTTTAAATTATTTTTACTGAACTCAAGTTCAAAATATTTTTCTTTTAATTTTGAAAGGTGGTTATGGGCTGTAAACCAAGTATCATGTGAGTTATTTCTGAGAAGCATTTTAGTAGTGATGGCGCTTTTCTCAGAAAAGCAGATAGAAAGTAGGAGTTTGTTAACCAGATTGTCATTTTTTTCCTGAGTGTGGTTTGAGGTGATTCACATTTAAGGGAGGTGTGATTAGCATGATTATTTTGAAAGAACACCGGATCTGTGATAAAATATTCCTAGATGTTTTGCTGTTTTAGAAACAAGATTTTTAATCACAATTTGCTGCAGCAATGGTTCGGTTATAATGATGAAAGGCATGCCAATAGAACCTCCTTCCTTTGTCCATTCACAAAATAATGCCATTTATTTTAGTGTATTTAGTGCCCTTAATATTCCCTACCCTCATTCTGTCTAAAGGTTGTATCATCCCCCCCCCCCCCAACTTTGTTCAAGTGCGTGAAATTTGGCTGTATAGACAGAGAACATCTTTTGCACCATACACTATGTACAGCATATGCTGGGCAATGCTTTACACTGCCATCTGTCTGGGTGCCACACATTGAAGTCAGTCTGTTCACTTACACCAGCTGTAACTAGAAGAAACTGACTTAAATGAAACTACAATGTCAATATAGTATTGGCTATACACATATTCCTTTAAAATAGCGTCACTTGCACATTGTACACATGTATCCATGCGATTGCATATCTGTAATTATTGGAGTGAATTCCACATATTTATTATTGAAGCCCGAAGTAATAACTGGTACGCTAGGCTCTGTTGCTAGTTTGTGAGGCATTTGACTGTGATTGTATGGTTTGTCTTGTGAGAATTAGTGATACAGATTGATGTTCCACGTTCACTGAGAAAAAAAACTTTTTGCAGGAACAAATAACACTGTATATATATTTATTATGTCAATTAATGTGACTGTTTCTAGAATTATATATATATATATATATATTATATATATATATATATATATTATTGTATAATGACTTAAAGTGTATTTAGTGCATGTGTCAAAAGGTGTATATAAATTTTAAAAAGGTATATGTAAACTACACAACATTATTGTATTTTCATCTTACTTGATATTTATAAGTACAGTGGTGTGCGTCTGTAAAGTACATATGTATATATCGTACATATATATATAAATATTGTAATTTGTTTCATATGGTTTGCATAATTAAGTTGTTATATGCAGGCAAACTTGTGTAAGGTCTAGCCTCATTTTCTATTACGTTACCTCTTTTTGTGTTTTTTTTTTCAAACAGACCAAAGATATGGTTTTTGTCTTGAGGACTTTGAGTACGTTCAGAATTAGGGGCAAATTTAAAGCATTTTTATGTATTGAGCAATAAAATTGGCTACTTGTGCAAACGTGGTATGTTATAAATATATTGGAAATGTTTTAAGTCTATGTGATTTAAGAACCTTGAATTTTAAGTTTGATATTTTAATTCTATCAAATATAACCAAGGTATACCCAGAAAAAATATCCCCAGTTATCCACTTAATTTGCTATTTTCCTTGACGATTTTGTATGCTGGGCCGCTCCCCCCCCCCCTCCACACACACACACACACACACACACACACACACACACACACACACACACACAAGAAGATGGATTTCTTTACTGAAAGTGCATTTTTCATTATTCTGAAACCGAAATATCTGTTTTCCCCTAAATATCTGAGGGGAAATCACCTCATTACATCCAAACCTTATGTATCTGAAACCTTCCGTTGAGTGTACCACAGAGAACATACTAAAATTTACTCAGGCAATTTGGTATGTTTATTATATATCAATGCATGGTCAATGTTATTTTCAGAATTATAATTTCGAAAAATAATCGCCATCAGTTTAGATCCTTTTTATGAGCTCATGTCTTTCCTGTATTATCGCAAGCCTTTGATTTTGCGTTGCAATACATAAGTCTAACACCCCATTTCCATAGATTAGATCGACCTACTTTAGATCGACCTAACTCCCTGGGGGTTCACGCTAAATAGCTGTCAGCCGGGCGGACACGAAAGTTAATTACCCCATTACAGCTTGTAGTAGGCGGGACGGACATTTAAGTCGGATTATCTGAAAATAATCTAGTGAGACTCCCCGCGGGGATAGATCGATCTAAAATCTATGGGAATAGAGCCTATTATAATACGTCAGTCAAATGTAGGCTAATCCAGTTAGGAAACAAGAGGCTGGTTTTACAAAACTGCTTCAGCCCGTAAATTTTAATATAATTATTTGGCCTGTGTCCGTTTAAGGTTAATCCTTGGTAGTAAAGTACTTGTTCGCATTGGGCTGTACCATTGACAATATTTGCGGGTATTTCATGTAACTGGTCCACTACTGATTGAAGTAGACCAAACTTTTGGTATTTAGACAAATTTTGGGGGCTTGGGTTTTCATACTGTGAAACGGTCCCTGGTTCTTGTAGCAAGCGAATAAGATGAAAGAGAGACTTCCCAAGTCGTTCTTTTTTATATAGGACTTTTCCCAATAGACAGTTCTTTTCATTATCAATGTCAATCATTCAAGAATAATATGTCAAAAGAGGACGAGTTCAAAATTTCTATTGTTCTTTATTTATTTATTTATGATTTTTATGCTGTCAAGTAATTGGGCTTTGTTATAAAAATCACTCCAAGCCAAATGACATTGAAAAGTATTTTGGGGATACTCACAGATGTGTTTCGATGTCAATCTGAAATCTTCCGTCTTCACTTACGTCTCGAGCATCGTTCGTGTTTTAGTATTCGAGAACAGTTGTTTTTGCCCCTAAATGTCGCGCCTGCGGCACTTTCTGATGAACTTCTTTCAACTTCAACGTATAAAGCTATTTCATTCAAATCTAATTTTAACACTACCTTGACAGTACTTGCATATTATTCTACGAAATGCTTGACAGGAAATCTTTCTTAGAATTATTATTATAATTGTAGAAGCTGCTACTGATTTCGCACGCAGAATTCAGTTTTCATAGAAAATTGCCATCCCCTGCTTACTCTATATAGAAGGTAATCTGGCGAAAACAGAAATATCTTATACATAAGTCAGGCTTAGATGAAGAGAACGCAAATGCTTTAATGATGGTTGTAGCTTCCTCTCTGTCTCTGCTTGCTCTCATCATTGAGAGTACGGTAACATACTGATGAACTGTGTGTGTGTGTGTGTGTGTGGGGGGGGGGGGGGGGGGGCCCTAGGGGCAGGGGGGGCAATTATACCTTTNCGATAAAACCATTGACATATTAAAAGTTCTTGATGGCGATATTACCAGCTAGGGCAATGACTGGCGAGAAGGAGAAAATGCCTTTTTTTCTCTAGGAGCAAAATCTCGGATAGGATACCTTTAATCCTTTTATTTCTGATGTATCTGCTAACTCCACTATAAACTATTACATCTTTAATTTGGTCAGGATCATGTTGTTGTTATTAATTATGTGCTTTATAGGTTAAATGAGAAATTTATGTTTGCTTATCAATATTAAAAATTCATATAGACATGACATGTTCCATCGGGAGAAAAGTAAAACATAAACATTTCTTTGACAGTTTGACTAGTAATTTCATACAGCTGCGTTGTGGAGATTGATAGAATAAATATTTTGTGAAAACGGTGCTTATTATTTTTTGTTTTGTTTTAACGTACATTTTATATCCTATGGTAAAATAAGTTTATTACAAAATGTTGGTAACTTTTTTAGTATACATGTAGTATCTTACCTTTTCTTCTACCTTTTCTTCTGCGCTCTGACTTGGGGTCTGCGGTCTTGCCAACTGTGCTACGGAATGGTTAATTTTATTTATTTATTTTTCTTTTTGCAATATAGGTTAACCTAATTTGTTGCAAAAGGTANGTTCTTGATAGCGATATTACCGGGTAGGGCAATGACTGGCGAGAAGGAGAAAATGCCTTTTTTCTCTAGGAGCAAAATCTCGGATAGGATACCTTTAATCCTTTTATTTCTAATAAATTTCTAACTCCACAATAAACTATTACATCTTTGATTTGGTCAGGATCATGTTGTTGTTATTAATTATGTGCTTTATAGGTTAAATGAGAAATTTGTGTTTGCTTATCAATATTAAAAATTCATATAGACATGACATGTTCCATCGGGAGAAAAGTAAAACATAAACATTTCTTTGACAGTTTGACTTGTAATTTCATACAACTGCGTTGTGGAGATTGATAGAATAAATATTTTGTGAAAACGGTGCTTATTATTTTTTGTTTTGTTTTAACGTACATTTTATATCCTATGGTAAAATAAGTTTATTACAAAATGTTGGTAACTTTTTTAGTATACATGTAGTATCTTACCTTTTCTTCTACCTTTTCTTCTGCGCTCTGACTTGGGGTCTGCAGTCTTGCCAACTGTGCTACGGAATGGTTAATTTTATTTATTTATTTTTCTTTTTGCAATATAGTTTAACCTAATTTGTTGCAAAAGGTAGATAATCTAACTTGTTTGGTTGCAAGGACATCCCGACTCCTACGACCTTCTGCTTCAGAGTCAAGCGCTACCACCTCCTCAAAATTATGACAGTAATAATATACTTTCATCACTTTTTCAGTAATTTCTAGGCACCTGTCCCAGGAATCGAATCGAAACCACAAACTGCGAACTGCCAAAAGCGAGACAGTTATCCACAAGCACACATATTTTATCACAAATACGTTTTGAAAACTTTTCGTATTACATTTATCTTGTCGCAATTTATCAGCCATGGCAACCAAGCAGTCCGATTATTTAAACCTCATTTTCGGACGCCTACATCCCAGGTGACGATTCTTTTGGAATTACCTACGCTGAATTTGTCAAGGTCTTAGTCTGTTTATTTTAATGATGAATTGTAGGAGTATTTATTTCATTTTATATTAAACTGGGTTATGAACGTGTTTCCGATATTTTTTCCAAAAAATGCTAACACTACTTTTAAAAGGTCTCTCAAGATACAAAGGCATTTTTCTTATTGATTAAGTTTCAGTATGTCATCTCATAACTTAATCTCTTAATTTAATGTCGCTCACAGTCAATGTTTTTTCTTTATTTTATTTGTTGCTTGATTTTTGAAAATCATAACCGTTCTAAAGAATTTAAAACTCTGTCTCCAGTATGGTATTCTCGAATTTCACTAATTAATTCAACTTGAGATAAGAATCGAAAACTTTAATTTTTCTATAGACATGTGCTTTTTACGCACACCATATAATTTATGTTTTTTTCAACGGGCCTTTCAACACGCTTGTTTATTAGAGTGATTTCTTGTAAAAAAAAAGTGGATAATTTTAAAAGCACATATATAATTGTCAGAAGTCTTTATAAGCACATCATAGTACAACTTAGACACGTACATCATACCATGGGAATGTCACCAACCTGACCAACATCCTCAGTGTTTAATCACAGACCCTGAGACCCGCGCCCACTCCCCATAAGATCCACATCCTGTTGATTTGGCAGCGCACCTGTTCAGGTCTCCGTTCCTCTGTGTATAAATACTGCTCCAGAATACAGGATTCTTCAGTCGTTGACTCCAGTGTACCAAAGACAACAATGAAGCTCCTGGTCTTCTGTCTTCTTGCTGTTGGTAAGTACACGGTACATTTTAATTAAAAGTTTCAAATGCGATTTTCACCCTTGCTGATTCCATGCTAGGGCGTGGTAGTACCTGATTTCATGACAGTCTTCCCATCTGATGTCGGCTTGAACTAATATCGTTTATCATTTTGCTGTCGTGGAATCACTGTGAGCATTTAGAAAAATTAATCGTGCCAGATTACATGACTTCAGCACTTTGGATCGATTGCCTTTTTTACCGTCTAGTAGCATCTTATATGCAGATTGTCAAAACTTGTCCACATGAAAAATAATACAGTTTCCTTCATCCAAATATCGTGTTCATTTTTTCTTTTAATTTTAAATTAAGTTTTTAGAGTAAAATTTTCCTTCTTATATAGCTGTGACCGCCAGACCCGGTTGGCACATCAAGCCAGAGGGTTCGGGGGATGATAAGGACGATGACAAGTGCAAGCAACTGAAATCTTTGGACTGCGCCCAAGTCATTGCGCCGTGGAACAAAGTCCAGAAGTTGTGTGACGTGCAAGGAAACACGTACGCTAACAGGTATGTCTCTTATGTGGTTATGGAATTTGTTAGACCAGCAGACAGCGGTTAAATAATGGCGAGGCAACCACCCTCTCGAGGGAGCTACATGCCACTTCCTTTGGGCAAGGATTAATAAATTTCCTTGCCTGGAATCTATGTATTCGTAACATAAATCCAGTAATTGCCTTTTTTACCCAGTCCAGTAAGGTTGTTGTCATAATAACAGCAGAACTTTTAATTAATTAAGAAGAATGCTACCGACATTAACTGCAGCGTGCTAATTAAAAATGCAACAAAAGTATGAGAATAAAATTGGGGCTTTTGTTGAAGTCCATTTTCCTATTACAAACTTAATTTTTGCATAATTTGATTTTTTTTAATTTTAAAAGATGTCCCGCAATTGTGAGCTTTTTTTCCTCTCAATGACATAAGTGTAAATATGCTCGTTACACAAAACAACATTAGCCTCACAAAGGTAACACCCATTATATTCAGCGTACACCATAAGCTGCTGCTTCAGCAAACAATGCTGGTACTTCACTAATGTGCGCTGAGCTTGGTTTGTACTTATAAACAGCTGATTTTCTGATTTTTTCAGGTGCGAGTTCTTCAAGGCGCACTGCGACAACTCTGACCTGAAGTTGACACATTGCGCCAGCCCAGACGAACTGAGGCCAGAGGAGCTGATAAATAAACCTGATGTGGAGGGTTCAGGTGAACCAGAAAAACCAGACAAATGTGAAGAGATCAAAGACATGGACTGCTCTGTTATCGCACACTGGAACCACAGAGGAACCTTCTGTGACAGTGAGGGCAACAAATACGACAACAGGTGCGTGCGATGACCAATTCCTTGTAATTGTTTATAAATCTATCAATTGAATTATCTCTACATCCATGTGCCTATTTTTATTTTCTTTCTCTCTCTTTCCTTTATTTCTATTCCTGTTTATTAATCAATTTATTCATCTGCTTATATTTTTGTATATTAATTTATGTCACTTTATCCATTTGCTGTGTTTTCGTGGTTACAACAATAGTTTGTTCATTTCTTGGCACCGTTTACTTCTTTTGTTCGACTAACTTTCATGATGGATGTATATATGAATGAAGAGACCTTAGATGTTTCATATCAATATTAGGAATGAAAGTAGCGAACAGTAATGGTTTTCTTACGTCGCTTTTTCCTTTTCGCTTCTTTACAGATGCGAATTTGAAAAGGCCCGCTGCGCCAAACCTGAACTTACCCCCAAGAGGTGCCGGCTGGATACCCGTGCTCGCCCAGAAGACGCCGGACGTCCAGAGCACGCTCAAGGCCAGGTAGAGAAGCAGGACAAACCAGAGCAAGCTCAAGGCCGCCCAGAGCACGCCGGACGCCCAGAGCATGCTCAAGCTCAGAAAGAGAAGCAGGATAAACCAGAGCAAGCTCAAGGCCGCCCAGAGCACGCTCAAGCTCAGAAAGAGAAGCGGGCCCAACCAGAAAACCTGGACATAGCTCAAGGCCGCCCAGAAGACGCCGGACGCCCAGAGCACGCTCAAGGCCAGGTAGAGAAGCAGGACAAACCAGAGCAAGCTCAAGGCCGCCCAGAACACGCCGGACGCCCAGAGCATGCTCAAGCTCAGAAAGAGAAGCAGGATAAACCAGAGCAAGCTCAAGGCCGCCCAGAGCACGCTCAAGCTCAGAAAGAGAAGCGGGCCCAACCAGAAAACCTGGACATAGCTCAAGGCCGCCCAGAAGACGCNCTTAAAATCAGTTATAGTTTGTTCTGTACAATAAAAATTCGTAAAACTGGCAAAATAAAACGTAACTGGGACACGTACTAGTATTTGCCTTGTAATTTTATTTTAATATATATTCATTTTTCATAAAGTGTGGCAATCATCCATGAAAGGGGAGCAGTCTTTGGTAGATCAACCCTAAGAGAAAAATTAGCCTGATTATTGTTGCATTTAGTAATACATTTGATTTTTTTCTGTAGTCAACAACATTATTTTGTAAATAATTGACAGAAATTGCGTTTAGGATTGCAAATTTTGTGCTTCAAAAGTAAAAGAGGTGCAAAATCTTTATGTAATTTTAATTACGAAATTAAAAATTCGCAAGGAGGCTAAGTTTAAGACGTTTGTGTATCAAAAGGTTCCAAAGACCACCACACTCCATTTGCTTTATTTGATAGCAAATTGTTTGCCTATTTCCCCGTAAGTAAATACCACTCTTCAGACGGATATTTTTTTCGAAAAGTCTTGTGCATTGTTTTATTTCCCCTGCTTTATGTAAAGAATAAGAATAATCGGTAGATTCTGTTGTTTTTCATTTTAAACGAATAGTTATCGTCTTTGGTAGATCGGATACAATCAGATTTTTCGCTAAACCAGAATAAACCAAAAACTCATGTCACGTTGAGAAAATTTTTTTGTGAAAAAACGATTTAATTATATCTTGAAAATTAGGGCATGATTACCCTCTACCAGGATTGTAGATTACTTATGTGCATGATTACAGGATAGGGCATGATAACAACCCACCCCCATACAATTCGGGGCCGTAGCGATAGTCCGAAGGTTCAATAGTCCGAAGGTTCATTGGTCCGAATGTTCACTATAGAACCTTCGGACCAATGAACCCTTGATTAAAAAATCGATGAAAATGTAACCACTTTTCAGACCAATGAACCTTCGGACCAATGAACCTTCGGACTATCGAGACGCCCCCTACAATTCTTGTGTGCTCACACACGCTGTGATGACCACATAACTTTGGCAAAACAAAACGAAACAAATCATACGTCTACATTTACGGATTTAGGGGGTCAGGAAGGTCCTGACCCCCCTCCCCCCTTTTCGATTTCTGGTCCCCTCTTGAAATTAGAATTTTGATTATCATAGTTCGAAACCGAACCAAATGGNTTCACCTTAACAGTAGGGATGCCTGTGTCAAAGAAGTAAAACATTAACTCTGTTCACAATCTCTTGTGGTTTTGTCACCAACCACCAATACACCCTACTGTATCAGCACAATATTCTATGTATTAAACTGTAATCAACTGAACTCAACATTTGACACAACACTGACATTATCCAATATTATACACAAAATGGGGAATACAGAAGACCTGAAAGGCCCATTTCCCCATTTCCATGCATAGCAGAGTTTACATCCCTTCTTTATAATTTTGTTTAATAGGGACATAAGATGATGGGCATGAAGAGATCCATAAATATTTGATGTCGATATGGACAATTTTTGCAGTCAAGATAATAAATGGATAAACGATTATATATATATATTTTTTCAATTACAACAACTGGGTTAATTGTTATCTAGCATGTTGAACTAATATTTTATTTCTAAAACAGAAACTGGATTTCTTTAAGTACATCTACTGCCACATCCACGCAGACTGATAGTTGGAAGCCTAGTCCCACAGACTATGGTAAAAGATGATGTTGAAGCAGATCCTCATAAAGGCAGTTAAGCAACTTGTGTACTCCACCAAAACACAGATCCGCACACCCTCACATGTAACTGGTAATGAGTGACATATTTATGTGGGAAATGATTAAGGATATTTGAGAAGCTTTCCCATCATACTGCCTTGAACAAAATCAAGTGGTACAAACTAAGGTGACATATATGAACATGAATGGTGTAACAAAGTTAGAAAAATATTTAAAGCTGTCTTTATTGCTTATCTGAATATACATTAAATATCCTTACACTTGCCTTCAAATTCAGTGATGTATAACAATGATGTATAATGAGTGCTTTTTATCAAGTTTAAGACAGTTACATATGGTAATACTGACTGCAGTTTGGAACTATAAAGTTTGACCCCAAAAAAGAAAAAAAAACATTTAAAAAAACCTAAATAACTTCTAGTCCTCTTGAATCTTTAAGTGACAAGTGCTACAGGTACAGTGTATTGCTTGTTATTAGGGACTTTAACAAAATTTTGATTTGGCACTGCTGCACCCTAATCTATTTTACGAGAAGACTGAAAGGAATGACAAATGTGAATTTGAAAATAGGAAGCTCCCTGGAATTCAAGTAACAAGCAAACATAGAATCAACAACAATTTACTGTAATTTTACATGAAATATTGGTGTAATTATATTTTTCTAAATGGAATGTTTAAGTCATAGCCAACCCAACCTGTTGAATTTTCCACAACAATGATAAATTAACAGCATAAAATAGTAAGTTGGTAAACTTTTAGTTTTTTTTCTTCTGAATATTGTAAACAATAATGGTATTAAGATCTGTGCATTCTGGATATAAGTGACAAATCAATATCAAAAATATTACCAAAAAAAAGTTGAAGTATGGGGTGTTTTGTGACACTCTCAGTTAAAACTTCTCTGAAATAGTGAAAGATTAAAAATTATATAACTGCCTGTTGTTTAAGAAAATAAAATATACTGAATTTGATGTATGGTTGAGTTAAAATAAAATTATTATCTGGAACTTAGAAAATTGTATTCATCAAGTTATAGGGACAACAATAACAAAATCCCAATACAAATTAAGACAATATATAAAGCTATTTGTGCTTTCTTTTTAGTGTGCAAAAAGTTCACAGCATAATTTTCAAAGTACATCAGTGGAGATTAAAGAGGAGCTTTTGATTAACTCCGGAAAATGCGAGCACTTAAGGCACACAACTGGGTGGGGTGGGATGAGTTGGGGTGGGGGTAGGGTGAGGTGCCAGTGAGGCATAAGTACAACCCAAATATCCATATTTTAAGGCTTCATCCCTTATCGATACTTAAACTATGTATAAAGTGTGTATGGTAATTACTTGATCTTTTCAATGGGCAAAAATTATACATCTGTATATCATTTGTGGTGCTCTTACTGCATAAAATTAGAATTCAAGAGTAGCCCGTTTTGTAATTTTATTACTACCACTCAATACGAATGTTCTAATTTTAAGAAATTTTGACTTAAAAAATACAGTAACTGTAAACTTCACAATTTTCCCCCTTTGAAATCTAGTAAATACCATTATTAAAACAGTACCAGAACAGAGAAGATCACCAAGTTGTGATGTTAAATGTACCATTTAAAGGCAATNTACAATAAAATATACTGAATTTGATGTATGGTTGAGTTAAAATAAAATTATTATCTGGAACTTAGAAAATTGTATTCATCAAGTTATAGGGACAACAATAACAAAATCCCAATACAAATTAAGACAATATATAAAGCTATTTGTGCTTTCTTTTTAGTGTGCAAAAAGTTCACAGCATAATTTTCAAAGTACATCAGTGGAGATTAAAGAGGAGCTTTTGATTAACTCCGGAAAATGCGAGCACTTAAGGCACATAACTGGGTGGGGTGGGATGAGTTGGGGTGGGGGGTAGGGTGAGGTGCCAGTGAGGCATAAGTACACCCAACACCCAAATATCCATATTTTGAGGCTTCACCCCTTATTGATACTTAAACTATGTATAAAGTGTGTATGGTAATTACTTGATCTTTTCAATGGGCAAAAATTATACATCTGTATACCATTTGTGGTGCTCTTACTGCATAAAATTAGAATTCAATAGTAGCCATAAAATTAGAATTAAAGAGTAGCCCGTTTTGTAATTTTATTACTACCACTCAATACGAATGTTCTAATTTTAAGAAATTTTGACTTAAAAAATACAGTAACTGTAAACTTCACAATTTTCCCCCATTGAAATCTAGTAAATACCATTTTTAAAACAGTACCAGAACAGAGAAGATCACCAAGTTGTGAGGTTAAATGTACCATTTAAAGGCAATACACCATCTTTCAGTGTCCTTGTCTTATTTGCAGTTACTAAATAAGTACAAATATTTAATATCATTCAAAATGTGAGCACTTGAAATAATTGCACTGTTGTGACTGGTGAAAATAAGTTCTGCCAAAAGATTGCATTATGCCATTAGATTTATACTTAGTCCATTTTACGTGCTTCAATATTTTTAAAAACCAGTATTTCAAAATCAAAAATACTATCATAACCCACAGTGCACCAATATCAATGTCATTCTCAAATTCTTTGCATTATTTTCCCATTATTTTCCTAAAAATGCTTACATAAATACATCAAAGATCATGAACAAAGATCATCCATCCAGTGCCCAAATATCATTTTTGAAAATCAGATCTGAAAGATGCTGATAATGATTCCAGAGTATATATGTATTTGAAAGGATCACAACTCTTCATATGAGATTCCAAATTTCACAATAAATGCATTGTAAACAACACACAGAAATATCATAGTTTTCATTTATCACCAAAATGACAGGTATCACAAATCTGAAATCTGTGCTAGCCATTAGACCATGTGGACCTTCATAGAGGGCTACCCTCTGTATTAATCCCTTAAGAGATCGCATTCTCTTAAGAAATTATTACCAAAACCACATTTTAAAAATTGAATGTTAGAATGGATTCATTAACCATTGAAGAAAATCTGTTTTATTACACTTTTTCTACCAAAATGAAGAGTTGTCATCCCTTTAAAAATGCTTCCACAAAAGCACCTCTTAATTACATATATGAGCTAAGTTCACACTACATAAGTTAATCCTTTGCCACAAATTAAACCACTTTTCAGTAAGTTTTGTCATTGTCATAGTGTCACCCACACAAAATAAAACCAATTTAACACAGTCCAAACTTGCCTAGGATTAGTATCATTACTGCTTTTCATTGCTTTGTCCTTCACCCTGGTCTGTATAAGACTTGGTGTTGGTCAGGCGGCCATTCAAAGGGATATCCTCATGTCTGTCATCAATTTCATCCTCCACTAGGCCAGCCGTGTCATCTTCAATCTCATCTGCATGCTTGGGTGTCACATACTTGTAGAAACAGGCCATGATGCCAAAGATCAATGTGTCCAAGCCCATCAAGGCTGCAAACAGGAAGAACTCTGGTGCCTGTGATGAAAACAAGAGCTTGTTGATTTCTTTATGCATGGATAAAATTCAACGGGAGTCACCGAATCCATCAGTAACTCTCCTCTGTTTTTTAAATCTCTAATTTCTTTTTTTTTTTTTTTTTTGAGGCCAAAAGCCCTATTATCCATTTCAACAAAAATAAATACTGGTGTGATAAATTTTGTCTAAGTTACTTTATTCAATAACTTAATTACAACAAATTTGAACAATTTTCAGAAATTTATGTTCATATTACTCAAATTTCCCCATGTTATTGAAAATCTATTGAGGGACCCCATTCAGCAGTACCTGTGGCAAAAGCCTGGATTCTGCAACAATCACCACTATTAGGTTGCCAAATGACACAGTCAGTAGCCAGCCTGCCTGCAGCACAGATTTCATACTGGCAGGAGCCTTGGAATTAAGATTATACACAAAATCAGGAATGGGAACAAATAATGCTTTAATGTATTTAAAAAATCTACCCAAATCTACCCAATCATATTCCCTTTAAGTTCCAACTTTTGAAAATACTATTCAAAATTCAATAATTTTTCACTTCCATAAATAGGAGAATATGCTCTAAAGAGAAGAAAATCCAATTTTTATCTTAGACAAGAGTAATGCCAATATTTTGTAGACAATATTTTGAAATAAGATGTTGATTAGTACAAGGATATTTTACCCTTTGAATGTTTCATCCATACACTGCAGTACATATTTATAAAAGTTTATATAAGTTTATAAAAGTATTTTTATCAATACTTTTGCACTCTTTATATGTTAAATCTATATTACAGAAATTACTGTAATGTTTTAACTAGTAACACAAATTCATATTATGATCATGCATTTCTTCTAAACACTTACTGCTTCTGCCAATTTGCACACACACACACACACACACACACACACACACACACACACACACACACACACACACACACACACACACACACACACACTTGCGTATGCATACCCTTACCTGAGAGTATGCAAAAGAGAGTCCAGTTATTGAGAAGAGAATTTCTCCTGCTGTGATCACAACATACTGAGGAATCTGGTAATACATGGGAACAGAATTGGGGGCAACATCAATATACTCCGTCAGCTCCAGCTGCAAGACAGTCATACAAACAATATAATATAATATAATAT